CCGGTACGACCAGGACGAGCAGGCGAGACAGGACGCGACGCAGGCTCACGACGCTCAGCAGGACTACCAGTCTGCTCAGTGTAAGGAGAAGGAGCAGGCAGCGGTGAGCCAGGCTGTAACGGAAGACCAGTAGACGACGGGAGAGTAACAACCTGACGAAGAGCAGAGTCAGGCGGCGGCAGAGACGACGGAGACGGCGGAGCGAAGAACAGCCGTGTCGGCGCAGCTGCACCAGTACCGGCAGCTCCAGCAGCTCCAGTGCCTCCAGCAGCTCCAGTACCTCCAGCAGCTCCCGTACCTCCAGCAGCTCCAGAAGCTCCAGTCCCAGGGTCTCCAGCCTCAGTGTCTCCAGCACGAGCACCTCCAGAACCAGCGACTCCAGCACCTCCAGTAGACAAAGGACCAGCACCACTCCTAGCTCCAGCAGCGCGACGCTGACGGCGACCGTACCAGTCCTGCAGCTGCTGTGGGGTGAGAGGCACACGTGGACGAAGGCGGCCACTCCAAGGAGACCGCGCAACAGCAGACTCAGAACCCTCAGCGCCCGCACCCCCAACGGCTCCAGAACCTCCGGTGTCAGTACCCTCAGCACCAGTACCTCCAGCGGCTCCAGAACCTCCAGCGCGAGCACCCTCAGCAGCTCCAGAACCTCCAGCTCCAGCGCCACCAGTACTAGGCCCTCCAGCAGCTCCCGAACCTCCAGCGTCAGTACCGCCAAGCTCAGCACCCCCAGACCCCTCACACTCAGGCTCAGCACCACCAGGCTCCACACCCTCAAGCTCCGCACCCTCAGGCTCAGTACCCCCAGGCTCAGCACCCTCAAGCTCCGCACCCCCAGGCTCAGCACCCCCAGAAGTAGTACCCCGAGCAGGACCACTCTCAGTAGGACCTGAGTCACCAGTGACCTCAACCGGCGCAGTCAAGGGAGGAGGGTCTACCTGAGAAACACCTGAAGGAGCAGGACCGGGAGCGGGGAGGGGGTCTACCTGGGGAGCACCTGGAGCGAGGAAGAGCGGCGGGGGGGGGAGCGAGGCAGTGCGGTAGGGGAAGAGACGGTAAAAGGGAACCGACTCGTCGAACGTGACGTCCTGAGACGCAAAGACACGGCGCGAGGCGGGGTGGTAAAACTGCCAACCAGGCGCGTCAGGGACAAAGCCAAGGAAGACACAGGGAACAGCGCGGGCGGAGAGCTTGTCCGCGGTGGTATCGCGGACAAAGGCACGAGCACCCCAGACCCGGAAACGCGACGCATCGCCAACCTTCCCCGTCCACAGCAGTGTGGGCGAGGTCTCCGGCAAGGAGACACGGGGCCAAAGGTTGAGCTGATGCGCGGCGTACCGGACCGCAAACGGCCACAGAAAATGGGGGGCAGCCGCATGGATCATGGAGGTACGAGCGACCTCCATGACTAAGCCAATGCGGCGCTCAGCAACCCCATTCTGCTGCGGAGAGGCCGGAAGCGTGAACGACTGGGTGATGCCGTGCTCCGCACAGTAGGCTGCCAAGAGGTCGGAGGAGAACTCACCACCTCTGTCAGAGTGCAGGCGCAGGACAGGAAAGTCCGACCGGAACCGCTCGCGGAGCTGGAGACGAACAGCGCGGATCCAGGGGATCAAAACAGCAGGGACATCCGCCTTGGTCCGCAAGGGGAAGACCGTGGTGTAACGCGTGTAGTCGTCGACAACCAGCAGGAAGTACCGCTCGTGGCCCTGTCCCTGGACGCGGGCTGGGCCCCACACGTCCAGGTGGAGCGTCTGCAGTGGAGCCTCTGTGGGAGGAAACGAGGAGGAGTGAGGAGCAGCGCGTTGCCGCCCCTCGACGCAAGGAATGCAGGGCGGCGCAGGCGAGGGAGGGAGGGCAGGCAGAGACCTGGGGAGACCAGAGACCAGGGAGCGAGAGTGCATGCTACGCAGGCGAGGCAAGGAGGGGTGACCAAGGCGGTGGTGCCACAGGAGAGTGTCGTGCGACAAAGCGCGACACTCGCAGGGGGCCGCCAGCTGACCAGACGCAGACGCAGACGCAGACGCAGCTACCTGAGGGGACTCAGTGGTCAGTGTGTACAGACTCGAGCCAGGTGCACGGGTGAACGTGGCCAAGTGCCGGCCCGTCCTAGCACACGTACAGTGAGTCACTCGCTGACTCGCAGGAGTGAACTGGTGAACCCCCCCATCCTGGAGGTCAGCTCCACTCACCAAGTTCGTAGAGAACGAGGGGAGGTAAAGACCTGACAGCGAGCCGGACGGGACGGCCGGACACGGCAGAACCGTGGAATAGTGGGCAAGGACTGGACCCCCAGAGGGGTCCGCCAGGGAGACCGGGACTGGCCGACGGAGCGGCGTGAGTGCGGTGCAGTCGCGAAAGAAGGAGCGGGAAGCTCCTGAGTCAAGGGTGAAGGTGTGCGAGACCGCAGTGGGCGCAGTACCAGAGAGAGCAGACACAGCAGCACCTGAAGCCACGGCCTCACCAGTACCTAGAGCAGTAGACGTACTAGCACCGAGAGCAGCAGCCTCACCAGCACCTAGAGCAGGAGACGCACTAGCACCTAGGGCAGCAGCCTCACCAGGGTCAGGCGGTACGCACAGGCAACAGGCACGGTCAGCACTAGTAGACAATGCATACATGGCAGTGAGAATAGCATCATAGTCACGCGCAAAGATATCTACCCCCTGTCCATGCAGCTCTAGCCAGGTGGGGAGCTCAGCCTCGTCGCCAAACACTGTGCGCCAGTCGTCGCTCAGACGGGCGAAGCAGCGGGACTGTGTGTGACCAAGTGTCCCACAAGGCTGACCAGTCCTAGCACCTGTGCGAATGACGTACGGGCAGCGAACTGTACGTGTAGACCTGCTACACTGAGCGTACCACTCCTGGAGCTGCCGAGGCGTAAGTGTCTCGCGTGGACGCCCCTGCAGCTGCAGCTGGCCACTGCTAGACGCTCCCAACTGACCAGCCCCAGGGCGACAGCTACGACGGCTACCGCGACAACCCCAGCTAGTATACCACTCACTAAGCTGCTGGGGCGTGAGAGGCTCGCGTGAACGTCGCTGGAGCTGCATCTGACCACCTGCCAGTATCATTAGCGCGGGCAGGGCAGGCGTGGCAGGCAGGCAGGCAAGCAGGCAGGCAGGCAGGAACGCAGGCAGGCAGGCAGGCCGGCAGGCAGGCAGGCAGGCAGGCAGGCAGGCAGGCAGGCAAGCAGACAGGCAGGCAGGCAGGCAGGCAGGCAGACAGACAGGCAGGCAGGCAGGTAGGCAGGCAGGCCGGCAGGCAGGCAGGCAGGCGCGCAGGCAGGCAGGCAGGCCGGCAGGCCGGCAGGCAGGCAGGCAGGCAGGCAGGCCGTCAGGCAGGCAGGCAGTCGCTCACCAAAGGCTGGGAGAGCAGGCGCTCACCGGGCGAGCATGGCCGGCGCTCGACAGCGGCGACGTCGGGGCCGCAACACCGGCTGAAGAGCAGGGCCGAAGCAGCTGCAGGGCGGGGCCGCTTCAGCGGCAGGAGCAGGGTGGGGCCGCGTCAGCGGCAGGTCGGGGCCGTGGCAGCTGCAGGGCGGGGCCGCATCAGCGGCAGGTCGGGGCCGTGGCAGCTGCGGGGCGGGGCCGCATCAGCGGCAGGTCGGGGCCGAGGCAGAGGGCCGCGCGCGGCTCGGCGCGGGCTGCGCGGACAGCGCGCGGAGCTGCTGCAGGCCGCGCGCGGCCGCGCTAGGTAGTAGCGGGCCGCGCGCGGCTCGGCGCGGGCTGTTGCGGGCCGCGCGCGGGCCGTGCGAGGCAGTAGCAGGCCGCGCGCGGCTCGGCGCGGGCTGCTGCGGGCCGCGCGCGGGCCTCGCGAGGCCGTAGCAGGCCGCGCGCGGCTCGACGCGGGCTGCGTGGGCTCGGCGCGGGCTGCGCGCGGCAGCTGCGAGCTGCGCGCGGCTCGGTGCGGGCTGCGCGCGGCTGCAGCGGGCTGTGCGCGGCTCGGTGCAGGCTGCGCGCGGCTGCAGCGGGCTGCGCGCGGCTCGGTGCGGGCTGCGCGTGGCTGCAGCGGGCTGCGCGCGACTCGGTGCGGGCTGCGCGGTTTCGGTGCGGGCAGCGCGCGGTAGCAGCGTGTTTGCGGGCCTGACAGGCGTGTAGAGGCGGCGCGCGGGCCTTACGGGCCTCTAGGGGCAGCGCGCTGGCCTAGGGCAGCAGGAGGCAGCGCTTGTGCAGCACGTCACAAGGCAAGGCAAGGCAGGCAGGTACGTGGGGTAGCGCGGTAACCGCAGCGGTAGGTGGGCCCGAAAAAAAAAAGCGGTCCTACGGACCTTAGTGCTCTGAAACCATGTTAGAATCTAGCAGCAGGAATGGCTGAACTAACAGGATGCAGGAGTACAAGTAGTAAACCCTAATTGGGTTGTACCCCATATGGGCTACCCCACTACAGCCTAGACAATATGCAGCACATATAGTTTGACACTTGTGTACCAGTCCCTAGGGCTAGTGCATAAGGGCACTAGAAACACAGGGTGTACGCAGTAGTAAACACAGGTTAGTGCATTAGGGCAGGTTTGCTACAGGCTTGTGCATGAAAGCAAGCGTGCTAATCACAAGGGTTGGGTATAAGGCCACCTAAGCTCTTGCTTCCTAGTTCTTAGTAAATTTGTACCCAGAGCTCTGCAGACTTAATACACTCTGGAAGAGCGAGTTTACTGAGTTGTGTTTGATGGATTGGGCTGAAGTGGTGCAGAAGGAAGCTATTGTACCGTATTAGGTATGGAGTAGGGCATCAATAATCTTCTCGCGACCTGTTTCTTCACATCAGCGTTTTGTGTTGTAACGCGGTATCTTCATACCCGTACGGAATGATCAACAATTCCAGAAGCAGCATTCCCGTGAGTGTCTATGAAGCAAGTGAATCCAGCCATTCCTGCACCATTCCGTCCACATACCACGCACCCTCGCGACACCGTGTCGCCTTCTCCCTCGATCCTCCCTCCTCCCTCCCTCCTCGCGCTCCTCGCTCCTTGCCCCTTGCTACTAATTTCGCCGTGCCGCATGGCGCGCGCCCGTCGCGCATCGCCGCCTCCAACCTGCGCCATCCTTCGCTCGTCGTCGCGCGCCGTGCGCCTGCTACTGCTCGTCGCCCTCCTCGCCCCCTCCGCAGCTTCCGCGTCGCATCCACCCGACGGCGGCGATGCCTCCCACTCGAGCATTGCTGCCGCCGCCGCCGCCGCAGCCGCCGCGGATGGTGGCGTGGCGGACGCGGGCATGGGATTGGGGATAGCGGATCAGTTTGTGTCCACTGAAGATCTCCCAGCGGCGAATGTGGCGACAGATGCGGCGGCCAATGCGGCGAGAGACGCGGCGACGGACGCGGCGGGGCAGGCAGAGTTCGATCCTAGATTGGCGGGAGTAGAGGAGGAGGAGCGATTGGTGGACGAGCTGCTGACGTGGCTGGAGGAGAGAGGCGTGACTGGGATCCGAGGGGAGGAGGCGGCAGTGGAGGTGAGGCAATCGGGGGGCCACACTCAGCTCCCAATTTCTGAATCTCTGTGGATTTGTGAGTCAGAATCAGAAATTGGGAGCTGTGGACGGAATGAGGTAGTGATTTGAAAATTCTGAAGAAGCGCCTGCAACAAAAAGGCGATGAGGGGACGTGTGGAGAGTTGGAGGTGCGGTGAGGCGGTGGGAAGAGAAGTGTGCTCATTCCACAACTGCTGCATGCCATGGTGCCTTCCCCGCCACACCCTCCCCGTGCTACTTCCCTGCATTCCACCCGCTGCAACTCATGCACACTTGTGCTCTCTTCTTCCCTGCCACCCTCAACGGCCGCCGCCCTCCCTTGCCACCCTCTCCACGCGTCCTCTCGTCCCCACGTCCCCTCCACACCACTCTCGTGCACGCGTGCAGGTGGTCATTGACGCCAACACCTCTCTCAAGGCGTCCGGCCGGTCAAGGTGAGTCAACGCCAGTCAATGCAAGTCAAGGTGAGCGAGTCACTGGGAGTCAATGCAAACAAGCATCAGGTCAAACAGGGCGGGTCTTTACAGTCAGAGATCCCCAATCCGCTCTCCCTATCCTGCCCGTTACCACACTTCCCAGCACAACTCACTTGGTAAGTTTCTCAGAAGTTTCGCACCTTCTCTTCACCATCCGCCTCGTCCCCTCCTTCCCCCCACCACGACACCACCGGCAGGGCGAATCTGTGCATGGTGGCGCGGCGCCTCATCGCGGAGGGCGAGGTGTTTCTGTCGCTGCCTCGCTCGCTCGCCGTCTCGGCCCTTCAAGCGCAGGAGGACGCAAAGCCGTACGAGGGAGAGGTGAGAGCAGGGCGAGGAGCACGAGGGGGGGGGAGAGGGCTCTTTCTCACCGCGCTGGGCGAGGTGTGCGAGAACCACAAGCCTCGTCTCTGGCAGCCTCCTTGCTGACCAACCGAATGTCATGTCCCATTGCCCCATCACAGTAACTTCTTTCACCTGCAATGCATGATCCCATCCCTGCCTGCACCTCTAAGCACATACCCGACACATGCATGCGCCCCTCGCCGTACCACCCTCTCTTTCCCCCCTTTCACGCAGGTGCATCCATTCACGGCGCTGCCATTCCCTTCCGCACCCCCTCAATATCTCTGCCTTTCTCTTTCCCCACAACCCTCTCCCTCCCATCCCCTCCCCCCCCCCAGGTGCACCCGTTCACGGCGCTGGCGGCCATTCCCCTCCCCCCAACATTTCTGCCTTTCCCCAATTCTCCCCCCCCCCCAGGTGCACCCGTTCACGGCGCTGGCGGCGTGGGTGCTGAGGGAGCGGGGCAAGGGGCGCGCGTCCCTGTGGGCGCCCTTCGTGCGCCTGCTGCCCGCCCACCTGCCCTTCCCCCACCTCTTCCGCCCCCAGCTCGTGCCCGAGCTGCAGTATGACGTCATGCTGGCCGAGGTGAGGGCACCACACCTCTTCCGCCCCCAACACATGAGCACATGAGCACATGAGCACATGAGCCCATGAGCACATGAGCCCATGAGCACATGAGCCCATGAGCAGCAGCCATGAGCAGCAGCCATGAGCAGCAGCCATGAGCAGCAGCCCAGGATAGGAGTATGGTTGTATTGGTATGTGAGAGGGGGGCCCTCCTGCTGCTCCAATGCACATGCCACAATCAACCTCACATTCTGCGCTGCCCCGGGTACCTCAAGATCTTCCCCTGCTCTGCCGTCCCCTGCCCTGTCTCCCCTGCTCTGCCGTCCCCTGTCTCCCCTGCCCTCACTCCCCTGCCCTCTCTCCCATGCTATCTCCTCTTTCCCTCTTCCCTGCTGCGCACAGGTCACGGAACATAAGAAGGCGCTCCTGCAAGAGTACAACAAGTGCCGCCCAGAGGCCATCGCCAACGCCACCCAGGAGGAGTTCTTCTGGGCGGCAGGGATCGTCACTTCCCGCATGTTTGCGCTGAGGCCTGCTGCAGCAGCAGAGGCAGAGGACAAGGGGAAGGAGGGGGAGGGGCAGGGCGAGGAGGAGCGGCAGGAGGCGGATATATCGCTGGTGCCGTATGGGGACCTGTTTGACACAGATGACGTCCCCATCGCCATCTGGCAGGTCAGTATATTGCCACGTGTCAGCGCAGTGCGTTGCCACGTGGCAGCAATCGAGTCTGAGGGCATTCGTGCAGCCACACCTCACGCGTCCCTCTCCACCCCCTCTTCCCCTCTTCCCCTCGCTCCCAACTCCTTTAACCCCACCAGGACACGGGCAGCAGCATAGAGTTCATGGCACTGACGGACATCCCAGCGGGGCAGCACGTGTCGCTGCACTACGGGGAGCTGAGCAACGATGAGGCGCTGGTGATGCGCGCCATGGTGGTGGGCGGCAACTACCGCGACCACTTGCACCTCTTCTCCTCGCCGCAGGACGCCCTTCGCTACCACGTTGACAAGTTCCTGCGCGGCTACGGGCACACGCTGGAGCAGGTGAGAATGGTTGAGGGGGAAAGTAGGGGCGGGTTGCTTGTGAGGCGCGTTAAGATTGCCAACCTGAGCAGTGCCTCTCGTGAATTGCATGTGCCTCTCAAGTGCATGTCCCCTTTGTGCCCCTGCATAAAAATTCCCAAGTGTGCTTCTCTCCCCACGCGTTTCACAGACGCCTCTGCAGGGCACATTTGAGCGCGTGGAGGCGGAGCTGCAGAAGCAGGCGGCAGCAGCGCAGTACGAGGGAGTGGCGCAGCGCTTTGAGTACCGCATGGCGCCCGGCAGCCCCCTCTCCGCGTGGTTCGGTGGTCGCTTTGACCCGCGCCTGCTGGGCATCTTCACTGCTCTGCACGCCCTTGTTGTCAACAACCGCAGTGCGTGCTCCCTCCGTGCACTCCGCCCCTCTCTCCCTCCACGCCCTTCCTCTCTCCTCTCTCTCATTGGCTGCTCTACCTTCCCTTTAACACCCCTCTGCCTGCACACCACCCTCTTCCTCTCGTCTTGCATGCCCAAACCAGTCAGGTGAACGAGAATCAAGTCCCATAACCACTTCCTGTGTTTTCCTTTTTTCCCTCCATCCCTCCTCCCCCATCTCCTGATTCATGGGAGCAGAGCCGGACCTAAGCCAGGTGGCACAGGTGTCGCTGCTGTACGGGTGGATGAAGGACCCCAAGACCACCTGCGATGATCTGGCGCGCCTCGTGGACGATGACGTGTCGGATGCGGTGCCGCCAGCTGGCAACGTGCTAGTGGAGCGGGGGCAGCAGCTGCTCAAGGAGTTCCCAACGACCCTGGGGGAGGATCTGCAGCTGTGGCACCAGGTCAATGTCTGCAAGGCGCGTGTGCTGTTCGGTGCGGTGGAAGGGGGTGAGGAGGGTGATGGGGGTGGTGGGGAAGGTGCGGATGCGGTGCAGTGTGGTGCGGAGTATGTGAGGGAACTGGGCGAGTGGGAGGTGATTCTGAGGTATCGCATGATGAAGAAGTATATTCTGCGGCATCTTGTGGGCCGCCTCCTGCACACCTGTGAAAATTAACAACGATGTCATGGCCTGGTTGTCTATCATACTGCAGTTGATTGGTGTACCTCACCTTGCTTTTCAATTATTTTGGTCATACCGTACATTTGCAGTTCATGCATATGCACGCTTGTACGAACTGCCGCTGCATGCTAACAAGGCCGGGGTACCATGCATTACATGCTAGTTCAGCCCGCAGCATGCTTGGCATGTGATGTGTGAGTGGTGGAGGAGGCAGGGACAATGCAGAGTGTGGCAGTGGCTGACAGGAGTGCAGGATTCATTTTGTGGGCGAGCAATGAATGGAGGCAGGCACACCTCCAACCACATTAAATCGGGTGTGCATTACTTGGCGTCATATATGAGAAGGCTAACTTACAAAACGTTTAACAGGATGATCAAAATTTACACAGATTTAGATAGGTTGCTACTTGTGCGGCTCCAACCAGCTACTCCTTCCTCCGTGCATCACCTCTCCCCGCACCAGACGCTGCTGCATTGGGGAACGCGGCTCACAGCGCCTTGAGAATGTCTTCGGCGCTGCTGTTGGTGAACGCGCCGCCCTCCTCCAGGTTGAGCACCGTCACGACGCCGTCGTCCGCGAGCAGCGCGTAGCGCCGCGACCGCACGCCCAGCCCCTTGTCGCTCAGATCCAGGCTCGCGCCCAGCGCCGCCGTGTACACGCCGCTGCCGTCCGCCAGCAGCAGCACCTTGCCGGCGGCGTTGACAGAGTCGCCCCAGGCGCGCATGACGAAGGGGTCGTTGACGGAGACGCACGCGATGGTGTCGACGCCCTTGGCGCGCAGCTCGTCCGCCTTGGCGATGAACCCCGGCAGGTGCTTCTGCGAACATGTCGGCGTGAACGCGCCAGGTACCGCGAACAGCACCACCTTCTTGCCCTGGGGGAAGGAAGTGAGGGGCGTGACGCGATGAACAGACTACAAGATTGCTGCGCAGCGGTGGCGTTCATTCACGGATTGGCGGCTCATGCTAGAGAGCAAATTCACAGGTTTCAATTCTAGGCTCGGTGACTACGAGGGTCACAAGTCCGTTTTGTTTCAATTCCATCTCAGCGCCAAGGATGCGATATCCGCGTTATTCGCACCTTGGTGAGCGACTCGATAGTGATGGTCTGCAGCGCGCCCTCGGCGTCGAAGTACGAGAGGCTGCCGTCGGGCAGCTTATCGCCGATCTTGATCGTCGCAACCGTCGCCATGTGTCGCCGAGTAGTCTGACCGTGAACGGGCGTCGCAGAGCGTCGGATGTCGCGGAGGCGAACTCCAGAGAATCCGACGGCTGGGGTGCCCTGCTTGAAGGACGCAGCGGCTGTGTGGAGGGCGGAGGAGCGCGAGATACGCGCAGCACACGCAGCACCAGTCAATCGCAGGGCAGAGGACAAGGTGGCGGCAGCCATGGCTGAATGAGGGATGGAGTGAGGAAGGGAGTCGAACAAGTGGAGGCGAGGCAACTGACCTGAGGAGCGAGGAACGGAGATCTTGAACAGAGCAAATGGAATGTCGGAATTCCGAAGAATGGCACCTCACGTAGTAATGAGCTGGGTGCAAAATGTGACGAGGGAATTGAGGCAAAATACATATGGACGGATTCAGGTACTAGTTCATTCAAAAGCTGACGTGTCGGTGCCACGCTGTTGCTGTCTGCTTGACAGCAACCAAGACTCGCCGCGTGGCTCCGTGTGACTGAGATCCCAGTTCAATGTACACGTGTTTGCACAATCAAGAGCTGGAGGAGCTGGTGCGTGAAGCTTGCGGAACGGTATCTCTTGCTAAAAGGAATATGTACACAAACCGTTTGTCGACTAAGATGCTCGATGTACAACTGACTTAAATCTGCATACACAGCAATTCATCTGAACTAAACCCGAACTACTGTACACAATATAAGGATCCCCATTTCCATAATGATCATTGTGACCCTAAGAACTCCATCAGCGTCTGCACATACTGCTCCGAGTGAGTCTGTAGCACCTCAGTGCCTGCCGAGTTTATGTGGTAATACTTCCCCTTGCCCATGCGCGACGCAGCCATCATGGTTTCAAACTGGTAAGGGTCGTCACAGCCCGCCAGGCAGAGCACGGGCTGCTGCACCTTGTCTAGCAGTTCCCCGTGGTCCACTGCTGCATGCGCCTTGGCGAGCAAGTGGCGTGTCGGCAGCGACTGAAGGCCCTCCATTACCTCTTCAACCTGAGATCCGGGAGGTCAGGAGAAAACAACAAGTGCAGGACAAAGCATGAGCACACAATCAGGCAGCATAAGAAGAGTAACGAGAAAAAGGGTGCGCGGACAGTCTCTTAGGGGTGTGGGTGGTTCATGGGCGACGGGACGTGGCTTACGAGTTGATGAAGCGACACATGGTGGGCTGTACTGCGCATCAGCATCTGCTGCACTGCCACCGCAACCACGCTCTGAGGAGCAGCAGCCGCCGCACCATCCCCATCCCCACCCCCCGCGCTTATTGCCTGAGCAGCGGCTGCGAGCAGCTTGGAGCGCTCGTCGTGCGGCATGACGCCCCACAGCCCCACTCGCCTCACCCGCGCGGGGAACACGACCGCCATCTGCAGCGCCAAGCTCGCCCCGAATCCATGCCCCACCTGCGGATAGGAGTTACAAGGATTATCGGCACGGGAAGGCACGATGGACCGAAGCTTACAGTGTTCAAGCCAGATGCGCTAAGTACGGAGGGGGACAAAAGCAACGGGACGACGAGCAGACGTGTTGCAAGGACGAGAAATCGTGCGAAGGAGAAAACACGCACGAGGTCGAAGCGCTGCGTGAAGCCAACGTTGATGGCGGCGGCGACGGCGATGGCGCCCATCTCCAGCATGCTGTAGTCGCGACACGCCGCCGTCGTCTCGCCGCACCCCGGCAGATCCACGGCCAGCGCGCAGCACCCGCGCGCCGCCAGCAGCGGCAGCACGGGCGCCCACATGGCGGACGAGCGCCCCGCGTCGTGCAGCAACACTACGGGATGGCCCGACCCGCACCTGCACGCATCACACGCCACGAACCGCACACAAGATGATTTGAGATGCACGCTTTTGCACCGGGCAGAAAGGATTCGTAAGCGTCACATGTCTTGCACGAATTGCGTACCTGCGATAGTGAACCTGGCCGCGCGGCGTTGTCGCATACCCCTTCACGACAGCCGCTGCCTCCGCGCCTCCCATGGCCTGCTCACCCTCCGTCTGACTCGCCGCCTGCACCGCTTCTCGTTGTCGCGCGCCGTCGGGAGTCGCAGGCTCGCTCAAGCACCTTAATCGCTCGTTGTCGCTCGTTCTAACGCCGACCCTCACGCTGCTGCGTTGCGAGTCCATGCTACTACCCGCAGACTCACTGCGTCCTAGAAAAGCCCGATGGTTAGCGGGAATCAGGTGGGTTGCGGGGAAATCCCCGTCATTGCTGCCGCCGTCATTCCCCCGCTCGCTGTCCGTGCGCGACCGCTTCAACACCCTACTACGGTCATCCGAAGATTCCCAGGAGTGGATCCGCGCCGAGGCACGCGCGGACGGCGAAACATCCAAAATCCCGCGGTCGCATGGAGTCGGGGATGGTCGAGAGGCGGTGATGATTTGATCCATGGAGGACGCCGAGCAGCGGCGGACACTTGGAGTCGGAGAAGGGTAGCGCGAATCACGGATTCCGACTGCACAAACTCGGGATCGGATGATTCAGTTTTGGAAGGCAAACAGAGTTGCGTGACGTGGAGTGTGACGATGACACTCTTGAAAGCTGGAAGAGATGGGAATCGCAGGGAGAATGGCGGTGTCGGTGCAGCAATATGACCACAAATGTAGGTAGGGTTCATGCAGAGAGAACAGCTCGCATGCCATCTCAAGTTGTGCCGGATGACAATCAGCGAGACTCATCTCTGCCTTAACTGCTGCAATGAAAAGCGTGCTGCGCTGTCGTGTGCCTTCATTGCGCGTGCAGCACTCTGCTGCTGAATGTGGATGGGATGAAGCGAAGTGGTCGAGCAGGCAGCTGGCGACGGGTCACCCACCATTCCGCAGTTCGAAGGGGTAAAGGTAAGCAGGGGGGAAAACCCCTCTGGGTGCCCCCACACCTGGCTGTCAGTCGTAACCCGCCTCCCCAATTGTTTAGACTCGCTGGTTCAACGAGGTTGAGGTATATCCACTCCCCATTTCGAAGGAACCAAGCTGAAAGCGTGGGATTGAAGTTTCGTCCCAGGAACAAATTCCCATCACCGAGGTTGTGTGACTTCGAAGAAACTTTGTGGAAACACAAAACCTCACCTCGTAAATATCGATTTCTTTCGCTTACAATTTCATAACGCCTGTCGTTCAGGAAGCCAGTTTTACATTTTAAAGTAAGTCTATCAGCCGCTTTCCATCTTTTAGAACAGGCTGATGGGTGTCTGTAAGAACAGCCCCCCTCGAAGAAAAGCACTTTACAGAACCACTCCCGATCAAAATTCAGTGTTGTGTAAACCGTCGTGACACACGAGCAAACGAAAAGCAAAAGCACTGTCGTCTGTCGTTATCGTGGAAATGATGATATAGATTCACGTGAAAGACACGCGTGCCAAGAATCCAGAAAAGCGTGTGTGGTGAGTGGTGGTGAGGGATGGGCCAGCTGTAACCTGTAAGTTTCTCCCTTCCACAGTTTCGCTGTACAATTTCCTGGCTCTTCACTCTGTGCTTTTCCCAAACACAGTGCGACTACGTGTACTGTACATTTCGTACAGCCCCAAATACAACAAACTGGTTATGATTTGCCCAGCGGCAGCCCAAAACGCAACTAGGTTCCGAATCAGGAATTACCCCGAGTATTCAACCACATTTCACACACAGTTCTACCGCAATTTGTATGATGGTTTGCCTAGTTTGGAAGAATTGGTTCCCAGAGGGTGGCGCTACCTGCCAGGGCCAGATTCACGCGTTCGACAACGTATCCGTCCACTTGAACTCGTTAGAGATTGTATATTGAGTGAAGAACAGGTTCTACACTTGAAGCAGGTCAATACACAGTTATGCTTGAGCTACTACGCTGGATAAACAGCTCCACCATTCGCCTCTGGAAGTCGACCCCAAAGCCTTGAACCTTGGAAATATCCCCTAAAACCTCCGTAATATGAGATAGATTTCCTCCCGCAAAATCATAACGTGATTTCGTTTCTTGTGTCTGGTCACGGTGAATGCTGCGAGCTGATTGATAAATATCCGCAATTTACGCGCGGATGCGTGCAGTTTCCCCCGCGTAAGGTCTCTGCGTAAGGAGCAGCCATGGCGAAGGATAAGAGCCGAGTGGAGGAGGGGAAACGCAAGCAGGGACGAAGGGAGTCGAAGAAACAACATGCGCACTCCACCCGACGGTTCAGAGTGAGCCAGACTCGAAGCTAGTTGCTCTAGCCTTAAGTATAGAGCGAATTGTGCTCATAGAGAAATAAAATTACACACGACGAAGTCACAAACTCGTCTTCAGCAAGGTGTAGTGATGCTCGAGCAGCGAATAAGGCTAGTCTAGTGAGGAATGAAAGTGTTAAACGTGCGTGCACGTCCTGCACGCGTCTGCTTAGTTGATGCTGAATCTCAACGCCATCCTCCAACATTCATGCGTCCTCGTCTTGTCCCCTGACCCCCAACCCCTCGCGCGCGCCGTGCCTTGCGCGCGCACCCGCAGTTCAAGAGCTTCACGCGGCAAGTGGAGGAGGCTCAGGTAGATGTGTTCCGCTCACTCGCGCCCGCGCAGCAGCAGCCCTCCGCCGGCTGCTCCTCCTTCTTCCAGCAGGCGCTGCTGCACTGGCGGGTCAGTCGCGCCCTCGCCCTCCCATAGTTTCCCCCCTCTCCCACACCTCTTTTCCCCTCACACTCTCGTCGCTGTGGCTCCCATCTCTCACTTGCTACATGCCTCCCCATGCCTCCCCATGCCTCCCCATGCCTCCCCATGCCTCCCCATGCCTCCCCATGCCTCCCCATGCCTCCCCATGCCTCCCCATGCCTCCCCATGCCTCCCCATGCCTCCCCATGCCTCCCCATGCCTCCCCATGCCTCCCCATGCCTCCCCATGCCTCCCCATGCCTCCCCATGCCTCCCCATGCCTCCCCATGCCTCCCCATGCCTCCCCATGCCTCCCCATGCCTCCCCATGCCTCCCCATGCCTCCCCATGCCTCCCCATGCCTCCCCATGCCTCCCCATGCCTCCCCATGCCTCCCCATGCCTCCCCATGCCTCCCCATGCCTCCCCATGCCTCCCCATGCCTCCCCATGCCTCCCCATGCCTCCCCATGCCTCCCCATGCCTCCCCATGCCTCCCCATGCCTCCCCATGCCTCCCCATGCCTCCCCATGCCTCCCCATGCCTCCCCATGCCTCCCCATGCCTCCCCATGCCTCCCCATGCCTCCCCATGCCTCCCCATGCCTCCCCATGCCTCCCCATGCCTCCCCATGCCTCCCCATGCCTCCCCATGCCTCCCCATGCCTCCCCATGCCTCCCCATGCCTCCCCATGCCTCCCCATGCCTCCCCATGCCTCCCCATGCCTCCCCATGCCTCCCCATGCCTCCCCATGCCTCCCCATGCCTCCCCATGCCTCCCCATGCCTCCCCATGCCTCCCCATGCCTCCCCATGCCTCCCCATGCCTCCCCATGCCTCCCCATGCCTCCCCATGCCTCCCCATGCCTCCCCATGCCTCCCCATGCCTCCATGCCTCCCCATGCCTCCCCATGCCTCCCCATGCCTCCCCATGCCTCCCCATGCCTCCCCATGCCTCCCCATGCCTCCCCATGCCTCCCCATGCCTCCCCATGCCTCCCCATGCCTCCCCATGCCTCCCCATGCCTCCCCATGCCTCCATGCCTCCCCATGCCTCCCCATGCCTCCCCATGCCTCCCCATGCCTCCCCATGCCTCCCCATGCCTCCCCATGCCTCCCCATGCCTCCCCATGCCTCCCCATGCCTCCCCATGCCTCCATGCCTCCCCATGCCTCCCCATGCCTCCCCATGCCTCCCCATGCCTCCCCATGCCTCCCCATGCCTCCATGCCTCCCCATGCCTCCCCATGCCTCCCCATGCCTCCCCATGCCTCCCCATGCCTCCCCATGCCTCCCCATGCCTCCCCATGTTTCCCCATGCCTCCCCATGCCTCCCCATGCCTCCCCATGCCTCCCCATGCCTCCCCATGCCTCCCCATGCCTCCCCATGCCTCCCCATGCCTCCCCATGCCTCCCCATGCCTCCCCATGCCTCCATGCCTCCCCATGCCTCCCCATGCCTCCCCATGCCTCCCCATGCCTCCATGCCTCCCCATGCCTCCCCATGCCTCCCCATGCCTCCCCATGCCTCCCCATGCCTCCCCATGCCTCCCCATGCCTCCATGCCTCCCCATGCCTCCCCATGCCTCCCCATGCCTCCCCATGCCTCCATGCCTCCCCATGCCTCCCCATGCCTCCCCATGCCTCCATGCCTCCCCATGCCTCCCCATGCCTCCCCATGCCTCCCCATGCCTCCCCATGCCTCCCCATGCCTCCCCATGCCTCCCCATGCCTCCCCATGCCTCCATGCCTCCCCATGCCTCCCCATGCCTCCCCATGCCTCCCCATGCCTCCCCATGCCTCCCCATGCCTCCCCATGCCTCCCCATGCCTCCATGCCTCCCCATGCCTCCCCATGCCTCCCCATGCCTCCCCATGCCTCCATGCCTCCCCATGCCTCCCCATGCCTCCCCATGCCTCCCCATGCCTCCATGCCTCCCCATGCCTCCCCATGCCTCCCCATGCCTCCATGCCTCCCCATGCCTCCCCATGCCTCCCCATGCCTCCCCATGCCTCCCCATGCCTCCATGCCTCCCCATGCCTCCCCATGCCTCCCCATGCCTCCCCATGCCTCCCCATGCCTCCCCATGCCTCCCCATGCCTCCCCATGCCTCCCCATGTTTCCCCATGCCTCCCCATGCCTCCCCATGCCTCCCCATGCCTCCCCATGCCTCCCCATGCCTCCCCATGCCTCCCCATGCCTCCATGCCTCCCCATGCCTCCCCATGCCTCCCCATGCCTCCCCATGCCTCCCCATGCCTCCATGCCTCCCCATGCCTCCCCATGCCTCCCCATGCCTCCCCATGCCTCCCCATGCCTCCCCATGCCTCCCCATGCCTCCCCATGCCTCCCCATGTTTCCCCATGCCTCCCCATGCCTCCCCATGCCTCCCCATGCCTCCCCATGCCTCCCCATGCCTCCCCATGCCTCCATGCCTCCCCATGCCTCCCCATGCCTCCCCATGCCTCCCCATGCCTCCCCATGCCTCCCCATGCCTCCCCATGCCTCCATGCCTCCCCATGCCTCCCCATGCCTCCCCATGCCTCCCCATGCCTCCATGCCTCCCCATGCCTCCCCATGCCTCCCCATGCCTCCCCATGCCTCCATGCCTCCCCATGCCTCCCCATGCCTCCCCATGCCTCCATGCCTCCCCATGCCTCCCCATGCCTCCCCATGCCTCCCCATGCCTCCCCATGCCTCCCCATGCCTCCCCATGCCTCCCCATGCCTCCCCATGCCTCCCCATGCCTCCCCATGCCTCCCCATGCCTCCCCATGCCTCCCCATGTTTCCCCATGCCTCCCCATGCCTCCCCATGCCTCCCCATGCCTCCCCATGCCTCCCCATGCCTCCCCATGCCTCCCCATGCCTCCATGCCTCCCCATGCCTCCCCATGCCTCCCCATGCCTCCCCATGCCTCCCCATGCCTCCCCATGCCTCCCCATGCCTCCATGCCTCCCCATGCCTCCCCATGCCTCCCCATGCCTCCCCATGCCTCCATGCCTCCCCATGCCTCCCCATGCCTCCCCATGCCTCCCCATGCCTCCATGCCTCCCCATGCCTCCCCATGCCTCCCCATGCCTCCATGCCTCCCCATGCCTCCCCATGCCTCCCCATGCCTCCCCATGCCTCCCCATGCCTCCCCATGCCTCCCCATGCCTCCCCATGCCTCCCCATGCCTCCCCATGCCTCCATGCTTCCCCCTGCGTCCCATGCCCAACGAATCCCCCATGACCGCATATTACCCCCCATTACCTCCCTATGACCCCCCATAAATCCCAATGTCCTTTCCCCCCCTCGTTCTCCCCAATAACATCCCCATACCCCCCAATGCTTCCCCCCGTCCCCCCTCATGCGCTCCATGTCCCCCCCATGCACTCCATGTCCCCCCATGCCCGCCTGTCGCGGCGCCCAGGAGGAGAGCGCAGCGGTGGATTTCAACGAGGTGCACAGCGAGGTGGCGCCGCTCGTGGCGTCGCTGCCGCAGCTCGTCTTCCACCGCCACCGCATCGTGCACGCGCTGCTAGCACGCCTCTCCATGCGCGCCCTTCTCTCCCTCCCACCGCTCCTCAGGTGCCCTCGCCGCTCCTCCTCTCTACCCCCTCCCTCTCCCCTCTCCCCTCTCCCACCCCCCCCCACCCCCATCCCACACGCGCGCTGATTTGATTTCATTTCACCCCAGCGTACGTATGTATGCGCCAGTGCCCCTTGCTTGCCCTGTCGCCTCTGGGCCGCCTTAACTGCACCAACGTCTTCACTCTCATCATTTCTCCTTCCCCCTCCCCTCTTCCCCCTCCCCTCTTCCCCCTCCCCTCTTCCCCCTCCCCTCTTCCCCCTCCCCTCTTCCCCCTCCCCTCTTCCCCCTCCCCTCTTCCCCCTCCCCTCTTCCCCCTCCCCTCTTCCCCCTCCCCTCTTCCCCCTCCCCTCTTCCCCCTCCCCTCTTCCCCCTCCCCTCTTCCCCCTCTACCTTCCACGTTCTCGCCTCCCCCCTATCCCCTCTCCCCTCCCTCATCTCCCGTCTCCCACACCTCCTCCCCCCTCTCCCCTCTCCTCCCCATGCCCTATCCCCTCCTCCCCGTTCCTCCCACGTGCGCGCTTCTCCTTCTCTGCGTGGGCGAGCACAGCCTACTGGGCACGCTCCCGCGGGACCTGCAGCACGACTTCCTGCCGTGAGTGCTGCCACGCCCTGCACTGCACTGCACTGCATGGGGCGTGCTGGGAGGGATGGCATGGGGAGTAGCAAGGGTTGGGATGGGATGTGCTATGCGACGCAGAGAGGGAGTGGGGGTGCTGTGTGAGAAATGGCGGGTCGGGTTCTCCTCTCGTGTGATGTTCCTCTCTGCTGCCTGGTCGTGTCTCTGCCCCGCCACACCTCTTCGCCTCTCCCATCACTCTTGCCGCTCCCTCTCCCCCCTCTGCGTGCAGCTTCCTGCCGCTCTGCCTGGACGCCTGTGTGCGCCTGCTGCAACAAGGGGCGGACAGAGACGCTGCCGTGCTACAGCAGGTGCGCCCACGTGTGGCCCTCTCCCTCTCTTTGTGCCTCCCACCAACCAACCAACCGTTGCTACTTTTCCGACCTCCCCCTCACCCGCCTTCCTCGCTCCTTCCTATCCTCTGCTCTCCTATCCTCATCCACCTCGCTCCTTCCTATCCTCTGCTCTCCCCCCCCTGCGCCCCCCCTGCGTCCTGCCCGGCGTCTCTCTCCCCCCCCTCCCCCCCCCCCCATGCGCCCGTAGGTGGTGGAGTGTGTGGCGCAGATGGTGAAGCACCTGCGCCACTACCTCACACCGGACATCGTCACTCTCCTCAAGTGAGCCGCCTCTTCCCCTCCCCCCTCCCCATCCCACTCCCCCCTCTCTCACGCGCTGCATGGCGCTCGCCTGGCAGCCACACGCACTCCTTGCGTCTCTCACCCGCCCTGCCCCGCACGCACCTCCTCACCTGCCTGCTGCCACCATGCCCTTTGCTACCCACGCTGCTGCTGCTCCGCCCATCTCCTTCCCCTCTCTACATCCCTCCCCACCCCTTCATCACCTCTTCTCCTGTGTGTGCCTCCTCATGGCCCCACTCTCCCCTTCCCCTTCCCCTTCCCCTTCCCCTTCTCCCCTCCCCCCCCCCCGTGCGCCAGGATGACCAAGGCTCTACGTTCTACCCAGCAGACAATGTGAGCGAGCTGCTGGCGCGCAGGCTCGTCTTCATACTGCGCACCCTCCCACCACTTCACCACCTCTCCCCCCACTTTCCCCCACTCCCTCCCCCCCCGACAGAATGACCAAGGCGTTGCGGTTCTACCCAGCGGACTATGTGCGCGAGTTGGTGGCGCACAGCCTTGCCTTCCTGCTGCGCACCGCCCCGCCCAAGCAGATGGCCAGAGGTGCGCGCAGGGGGGGGCAGGGATTAGTGGCAGTTGCTGGAAGACCTGGAAGGGTTGAGGGGCTGGTGACAGATTAGGGAGGATGAGGGCAGCAGAGGAATGTGTGCACGGGACAGGGGCTTGCCGTTCGGAGATTGCGCGCCTTTCGTTGCTAAGCATCGTCCGTTTCTCTGTTGTATCGCTTGCAATTCAGGTCATTCTCCATCTCCCCCCCACTTCCCCTTGCTTCCATGCCATCCCTCCACACCCCCAGGCGTGCGGTGGGTGCTGGCGGAGGCGAGGGCGGTGCCATGTGAGGAGAGGGAGAGCGGGGTGGCGCTGCTGCTGGCGCATGCAGCCAAGGGCCCCGCGCACTCCCTGCACTCCAAGGCCGCCCCCCTGCTGCTGCGCCTGCTGCTGCTGCCCTCGTCCCTGCGCCCCCCCGCGCTGCTGCTGCTGGGCCAGCGAGGTGAGCCCATGGCGCGGAGGTGGTGAGGGCGAATGAGTGTGGCGGGTGGGGCAGTGCGTTGGGGCTTGTGATCTGATCTGATGGCGCATGTGGCAGGTGCCATGGCCCGTGAAGAGCATGGGTGAACATGTAGTGTCAGGCGTGTGCAACAGCAGACATGTACCGCAACAGACATGTACGGCACTGCCCTTTCAGCAAAGCCACGTGCTCCTCTCCCCATGTCCCCTACCCCCTGACATTTCCTCCAGCTGCTGATGCTGCTGACGTGGCACTGACAGTTGTCACCCGTGTGATTCGCCTGCTTGCCGCCCACCTCACCCCCGCCACTGCCGCCCCTCTGCTCACCCTGCTCCTCACAACCGCCTCACAAGCAGTGCAGGGGGGGAGGGAAGGCGCGGGTGAGGGGGAGGAGGGCAAGGGAGGGGAGCAGGCGGTCGGGGAAGAGGGCGAGGAGGGGGGCGACGGGAAGGAGGGTGGTGTGAGTGGGGGCGGGGGGCAGTGGGAGGAGGCGAGGCGGATAGCAGACGTGGTTCACGTGTTGAACGCAGCGCTGCAGCACCGGCAAGGCGTGTTGGTCACCCACCTCGCCCCTTTTGTCTCCCTCTCCCTCTCCCTCGCCTCCCACCCCCTCCTCCTCGCCTCCCTCCGTTCCCCCTCCCTCTTGCCCCAGCTCCCCGCCCCTCCCTGCTCTCAGCAGCAGCACGCAGGGGGGGAGGGGGAGGCGGAGGAGGGGCTTGGGGGAGCAGCAGGCGCAGCAAGGGATGCAGCGGAGGGGGAGGATGCAGGAAGGGAGGGGGATAAGGTGCAGCGCGGGGTGGTGAGGGAGGTGATGCTGCTGCTGCTGGGCGTGATGAAGAGGGAGCGGAGGAGGAAGGGAGGGCAGGGAGGGGAGGGGCAGGAGCGGGGAGGCGAGGGCGAGGAGGGAGAGAGGCGCGAGGAGGAGATAGTGCGGGCAGTGCCGCGGTGGGAGGTGGTGTTTGAGTGCCGCAATGACACCCTGTGAGTGGCGATGCCATTGGTATGCTGCCATGCCAAGCAATCATCCTCTTCTTGTTCCTTTTAACCGTGCAAGCTGTCATGCTCTTCCTCACTCACTCTATGCAAAGGGTTTCATTCTCCCCTCTCCTCCTCCGCCCCCACCTCTCCCCTCCTGCCCTCACCACCATGCCCACACCCATGCGGTGTGATGCTTGGAACATGTCGCTCGGCACATGGCACATGGCCCTCGCATGGTGCATGGTGCATGGTGCATGGCAGCATGCTGTGGTTCCTGCGCCAGCTGGCACAGCTGCAACCCCACGTGCTGCGTCTCCTGCTCGCCCCCACCATGCGGTAACCACACTCCGCCTCGCCACCCGCCCGCCCATGCACGCTTCACTTGACACATGCCGTTGTCGATGCACGTGGCACAGCTTCTTCCCCTCACCCATCCGCCATCACTGCTGCACTGCCATGGTGAAGTCATCACCACCACCCATGGCGTCACATCACGATTTGCACCTCGCTATGCCCCCCCTCATACATCTCATCTCACGACTTGCGTCACGACTTGCGTCACTCATCACATCACGACTTGCGTCACTCATCACATCACGACTTGCGTCACTCATCACATCACGACTTGTGTCACTCATCACATCACGACTTGTGTCACTCATCACATCACGACTTGCGTCACTCATCACATCACGACTTGTGTCACTCATCACATCACGACTTGCGTCACTCATCACATCACGACTTGCGTCACTCATCACATCACGACTTGCGTCACTCATCACATCACGACTTGCGTCACTCATCACATCACGACTTGCGTCACCCATCACATCACGACTTGCGTCACCCATCACATCACGACTTGCGTCACTCATCACATCACGACTTGCGTCACTCATCACATCACGACTTGCGTCACTCATCACATCACGACTTGCGTCACTCATCACATCACGACTTGCGTCACTCATCACATCACGACTTGCGTCACTCATCACATCACGACTTGCGTCACTCATCACATCACGACTTGCGTCACTCATCACATCACGACTTGCGTCACTCATCACATCACGACTTGCGTCACTCATCACATCACGACTTGCGTCACTCATCACATCACGACTTGCGTCACCCATCACATCACGACTTGCGTCACTCATCACATCACGACTTGCGTCACCCATCACATCACGACTTGCGTCACTCATCACATCACGACTTGCGTCACTCATCACATCACGACTTGCGTCACTCATCACATCACGACTTGCGTCACTCATCACATCACGACTTGCGTCACTCATCACATCACGACTTGCGTCACTCATCACATCACGACTTGCGTCACTCATCACATCACGACTTGCGTCACTCATCACATCACGACTTGCGTCACTCATCACATCACGACTTGCGTCACCCATCACATCACGACTTGCGTCACTCATCACATCACGACTTGCGTCACCCATCACATCACGACTTGCGTCACTCATCACATCACGACTTGCGTCACCCATCACATCACGACTTGCGTCACCCATCACATCACGACTTGCGTCACTCATCACATCACGACTTGCGTCACCCATCACATCACGACTTGCGTCACTCATCACATCACGACTTGCGTCACCCATCACATCACGACTTGCGTCACTCATCACATCACGACTTGCGTCACCCATCACATCACGACTTGCGTCACCCATCACATCACGACTTGCGTCACCCATCACATCACGACTTGCGTCACCCATCACATCACGACTTGCGTCACCCATCACATCACAACTTGCGTCACCCATCACATCACGACTTGCGTCACCCATCACATCACGACTTGCGTCACCCATCTCACTCCAACTCCATGCCCCCCCGCGCCTCTCCCCCTCGCTCGCCTTCCATTTCTCTTCCCCCTGCTCTTCAGCGCATTGAACCGCCTGGCTGCATCTCACCCCGCCCCCGTGCTGCTCATCTTCCTGGAACTTGCCAAGAAGCTTCCTGACTGCCTTGCTGATTCCACACTGCACCAGGGCAGCAAGGGGGGCGCGGGGAAGGCGAGGGGAGGGCTGCACCACCTGGTGGGGGGACTGGTGGAGGGGGAGGTGGTGGAGGGAGAGGAGGGGGAAGGGGAGAAAGGAGGAGCGAGAGGGGAGGAGGAAGTGGGTGAGAATGTGAGAAGGAGTGCGAGGCAGGCTCTTGTGTGGGCGGCAGTGCGATGTTTGAAGTCACTGCCTGTGATGACGTGGCAAGACAACCTGATTCTGTGCCAGCGTGTTATTGCTGATGTGTCACGCCAGCTTGGCTCGCCCCTTGATGTAGAGAGTGGGAAAGGAGGCGTGGCGCGAGAAGGAGAGGAGGAAGAGCGGGGAGAGAAGGGGAGGGTGCGCAAGAGGAGGAAGGGGCAGCGAGGCGAGGAGGGCAGTGGAGGGTCGCTTGACAGGGCAGTAGTTGCTGCCCCCCTCCCTGCTCTCGCTGCAACCACGGGGTCACACCATAGCCAGCAGAAACAGCAGCAGGAGCAGCAGCAGCAGGAGGCGAGGACGGCATGGGAGGGAGTGCTGGCAGCAGCGTTGGAGACCCACTCAGTGCTGCTCTCCTCACACTGCGCCGCCCACCTGCCCCACCACCTGCCACTCTACCTCTCTGCCGCCCGCCACCACCGCCGCTCACTGCCCGTCCTCTCTGCCGTTGCTCTCTTCCTTCAATCCTTCCCCAGGTGCGCGCCCCCCCTTCATGCTCCCCATCCCCCGTGGTGCACCCCGTCCCCCTCATGTTCTGCGTGCCACCGCACCGCCATGCGCCTCATCACATGTGCGCTTCTCCCCCACCACGTGAAGTGCATTACCTGCTTCACATATCCATTCCCGCACTTGCTTGTCTACGACCCCCCAAACCTGCTCCCTCGTGTCTCCGCGGTTTCACCAGGGCCCACGTGGGTGACACGTCAGCATCCCTGCCCGCCTTTCCACCTGAGCTGTCCGCCATCCACATGTCTGAAATGCTTGAGGCGCTACAGGACAACTTCTGCCACCCAGCACGTGAAATGCGGGTGGCATCATTGCGCATCATCTGTCACTTCGCCCCCCTGCTTGTGCGGGTGGGGGGAGAGGGGGTGGAGGCGAAGGGGAGGGGCAGGGGGAAGAGGAGGGCGGTGGTGGTCGCAGGGGATGATGCTGAGCCGTGTCTGGTGGGTGCCTTACCATGCCATGCCATGCCATGCCATGCCATGCCATGTGCTGTGTGGTTGGGAGCATGTGCAGTAGGATGCGTTGTCAGATTGAACCATTCACCACTGCTCATGTGCATCCTTCGCTCCCCTACCCCTTCCATACATCTGTTGCCCTCAGGTGTTTCATCAGGTGGAAGCACTGGAGTCATCACCCTACGACCTGCAGATGGGTCGGCATGCTGCCACCGCATTGGCTGCCCTCGCTGCTCATGCCACGTCAGCACGGCTGCCCAATCATCTGCTGCCAGCTGTCACTCGCTGTGTGCTGGGGTTGCTGCATTCCAAGTTTGCTATGATGTGGCAGCCTGCCATTGGCTGCCTTGCAGGTGAGTCCCGCGTTTGTCGCTTCCCTGTCATCACATCCTTCTAGTCTCCGCGCTTTCCCCCTCCCGTCGCTCCTCACCTCCCACTTTTCCGCACTTCACCTTGTCCCCTTGCCCCCCTGCCCCTGCCCCCTGTACCTCCCCTTGCCAGCGCTGCTCTCCGCTTATCCCTCTTCCGCCTGGCCCGTGGTGGGGCGGGAGCTGCGCCACCTGCAAGGGAACTTCCTCCTGGCCGCAACTGGTGCGCCTGCGGAGTCAGGCGGTGGCGCGCAAGGGGAGGGGCAAGGGGAGGAGGGAGGAGAGGGCGGAGAGGGGGAGGAAGGGGAGAATGAGGATGGGGAGGAGGGCAGCGACAGTGCTGCAGGTGAGTGTTGCGGCACCTGACAGGGCTGCATAGTGTGGGGGGCATGGTGCATGCAAGGGGCACAGGGCATGGGGGATTTGGGGCATGGGGCACAGGGCATGGGGGATTTGGGGCATGGGGCATGGGATGCAAGCAACATAAAGGCTCCTTCATGTAATGTGCTTCAACCATGCTAGTATCCCCACTCCTGCTCGAGCCTGCTCATCGCTCTCTCCCTGGTTCTTCTCCATTCCACCATTTCTCATTCTAATTCCTTCTCCTCTCCTGCCTCCACCTCTATGTCTAACTGCCCTCTAGTGCTCCCCTGCACCCATCTCCCCTTCCCTCCCTCTATCTGCCCTTCCAACCCGCCCCTGTCCAGCAGGCATAACGGCGCTCTTCCTGCGCGCAGCCATGGCAGTGCCCTCAGGAGCGCCCTCCTCCGCAGTGCTCTCCTCGCTGCTGCGCGCCCTCAGGCAGGCGCCAGCAGTGGCTACCACACGCCTCTCCCCTGCAGCCTCACCGCCTCAATCCATGGGCACTGCCCTCACGCCCCGTGGTGGCGCCTCTGCTGCCGGCGGGCCTAGTGGGCAGCAGAAGCGTGGCACGGCAGGGCAACAGCTGGCAGCACTCTTCCTGGCATTCGTCGGGGACTCTGATGACGGCCTGTACGACCACCTGTCTCCTCCCTTCATTGCTCCTTGCACAACTCTGCGTTGCCCCAACGCATGTGATCTCTCCGTGTCCCTCCCTTCATCCCCTCCCCTGTGCCCCCCCTCTCTCCTATTCTTCTTCCGCATGCCTCTCTCCCGCCTCCTCCTGGTCACAATGCCACCAGTCCTGTGCCACCAGTCCTGTGCCACCAGTCCTGTGCCTCCATTCGCTCACCCGCCCTCCCTTTACCCACACCCCCATTGATCCCCACAGGCCGACAGCACATACAGGGCAAGTGGAAATGATACAAGGGGGCACGGCTGAGACAGGAGGGCAGGAGGAGGAGGAGGGGGAGGGGGTGGTGGTGAACAGAGCGATGGTGGGGGGCAAGCAGTGGCACGTGGTGCTCTCTGATTGGCTGGAGCTGTTGAAGCGAGTTGAGCTGACAGCGTGTGGCCCCAAGGGGGAGGTGCTCAAGCATGTCATCATCGACAGGTGCTGCCCTGCTCTGCCATTCCACGCCATGCCGTACCGTGCACTGTCATGTCCTGTCCCAGTGCTGCCATACTGTGCCATGCCCACTGCATACCCGCCACACCATGCCATGCCATGCCATGCCATGCCATGCCGTCAACCTCTCCTTCAACTGTCCTATCCTTCCTCTCCTCTGCATATCCTTAAACGCTATCCCCCTGTGTTGCCCTTCCGTCCTTCATTTCCCCACCACTACAACGCCTCTTCACTTTAACCCCACCGTGTGCATCCGCCTCGTCGTGTCACCACCTCCACCCCTCTCTCCCCGTCTCCCCACCACGAATCAGGTTCTTGGTGCATCCGGACCCAGCGGTGCAGCAGCTGGCGCTGGACTGCCTCGTGGCGTGGCGCCATGGCTGCCTGCCTAAGTACGCCACCCGCCTCGCCGCCCTCGCCTCGTACCGCTCGCTCAAAGAGACGCTCACCACGTGGGACATCAGCCCCGTGGATGAGGAGGGGGAGGAGGGCGAGGAGGAGGAGGGGCGGGTGGCGGAGGCGGACAGGGCGAGTGTGATTCCGGTGATCGTTCGGCTGCTGCTGCCCAAGCTCAAGAAAAGGAGCGGCCAGCTCGTAGGGAAGGTGAGGCAAGGGGGGGCAGCTGACAGCCTGACAGGAAAAGTGATACGACATGACAGATGCAGCGTTTTGTTTTTGGACAGGCGTCCCCCTCTCCTCACCTGCTTCTCATGCTTCATCACTCTTTCAATTCTCTCAACCATCTCTCTCATCCTTCTTCCTCTCACTCTCCCCTCATCCCCCTCCCAGGCGGCAGCAGGCGTGCAGCGCGGCACAGTGTTGACGTTCCTGGCGCGCCTGCCCCCCGCGGAGCTGCTGCCGCTCTTCCACCTCATGCTGCTGCCCTTCCGCCCCGCCCTCCGCCCCGCCCACCAACTCGTGGGGGCAGCGCAAGGAGAGGCAGGCGAGGAGGCGTGGCAGCAGGCGCTGAGGCGCGGGGCTACAGAGGACTTCCTGCTGCTGCTGGGGGAGGGTGGGGATGAGGGAGCAGGGGCGGGAGAAGGGGCGAGGGAAGAGGGTGAGGAAGGGGCAGCAGGAGCGGGAGCGGGAGCGGGGGTGGGGATGGTGGGGCGCAAGCGAGTGAGTGGTTTTCTGCACCTGGCGGTGGACGTGGTGCGCGTGATGAGCCGGCAGCAGCTGCAGCCGTATGTGCTTGCCCTGCTGGCCGTGGCCGTGCGCACCGTGCAGTGCTACCCCCCGCTTCCTCCCAGTGCTGCTGGCGGTGACGCGCGTGTGCAGGAGAGGCGGGATGAGAAAATGGGTGAGGCAGTGGAAGAGGAGGAGGAGATCATAGAAGAGGAAGGGGAGGGAAAGGAAGAAGAGGATGTTGAGGAGGAGGAGGAGGCAGAGGAGGTTGAAGGGGGCGAAGGGCAGAAAGAGGAAGGTATTGAAGGCAAAGAGGAGGGTGCTGATGCTGCTGAGGGCCCTGGCGATGCTGACAAGGACGAGCACAAGGACGCGGGGGATGATGCACCTGATGATGACAAGGAAGACGACGATGATGACGCGGAGGGCAATACCGACGCCACCAAGTCCTTCGCCCCTCACGTGCCCAACTGGACTCGTGAGCTCCGTTCACTCGCCCTGCGCCTGCTCGCAGCCATCCTCGCCAAGTTCCCCGACATCGCCACTCGCGCCTCCCTGCCCGCCCCCCTGCGCCCCTGGCCGCTGCTGCTCGCCGCGCTCTCCCCCGCCCTCACCCACCTCGCCACAGACAACGCCGCCTCCGCGGAGCCTTCCGCACTGCTCGCCCTGCTGCTCGCCTTCTCTCGCTCGCCTCGCCTCGCGCTGCTGCTCGCCTCACACCCGCACGCGCTGCCCGCGCTCGCTGCTCTGCTCTCCTCCCCCTCGGCCCGCCTGCCTGTGGTGGGTGCTGCCATGGGGGTGCTCTCTCACGTGGTGGCGTGGGGCGTGGTGGAGCGCGAGGAGGGCGAGGAGGGCGACGAGGAGGGGGAGGTGGTGCTGCAGTGGGAGCAGGCGGGGGGGGAGATGGGAGGGGAGGTGGAGGGGGTGAGGGTGGCGATAGGCAAGGCGGTGGAGGGGCATCTGGCCGCCATCCTGCCGCACATGCAGCAGTTCGTCGCCAGGCAGGGAGCACTCTATAGGTGAGAGACTGCAATCAATCTCGTGCGCTTTCCCTCTCCCTCTCCCTTGCCCTTTCAGCCTGCTTCACTTGCCCGCTTCTCCCCTCCTATCCCCTCACTCCTCACTGTGTCCCTTCCACACTCCCTCCCTCACCCAACTCCGTGCTACTCTCTTCCCCCCACCAACTCTACCACTGCACGGCGTGGAGCAGCAAGGGGGCGGGGAGGGCGCTGAAGGCATCAGCGCTGGCGGTGGTGGGGCGGATGGCGGGCATGGTGACGCACGCACACCTGGCAGGCCAGCTGGCAGCCGCCCTCACGCCCTTCCTCAGGCAGGCAGCGGGCGGCAGGCGGCGAGTGGACGAGAGCACCACAGCGGCCGTGCTGGGTGTGCTGCAGAGCCTGGCGCCGCTGCTGTCACGCGCTGCTGCAGCCACGTGTGTGCGGCTGTTCGCCCCGCTGCTCACCCACCTGCACCTCAGGGCGGCTCGCCTCGCCCTCGTGCACACGCTCTCTGCGCTTGCTGCCGCACACCCCTCACACTCCATGTGCCTCCTGGTACGCGTGCCCTTGATGTGCTCTCCACTCCTTTCCGCCTGCCTCCGCTTGTTCACTTGTTCCGCTTGTTCACTGGTTCCGCTTGTTCACTTGTTCCGCTTGTTCACTGGTTCCGCTTGTTCACTTGTTCCTCTTGTTCACTTCTTTCTCTTGTTCCCCCTTCTAAATTCCCCAAGCCTCATTTTCTTCCTCCCACTGTCTCGTCCTCACGCCCTCACACCACCTCCTTCCCTTCCCCTGTCATGACCCCGCAGGCCTCCTTAGTGGCAGATCTGTGTGCATACGACCCGGCCCGCATAGACGAGTACGACTACACACGCCGACTGCACGCCTACACATCCATGCACTGCCACCTCCCCACTCCTGCCGCTGCTGACACCACGTCCACCGATCTGCACCGCTCGGCAGAGCAGGTGCAGCAGCAGGTGGTGGTGGCGGTGGGGCGGGAGGGGTGTCTACTGCTGCTGAGCTGCGCAGTGCGGGACATGGCGGACGATGACATGTCGCTGCGCCACTCCGCCGCCCACTTCCTGCAGTCCTTCATCCGCCTCGCTGGTGCTCTTGCCGCCCTCCCTCCTGCCGCTGGTGCCAGTGCTGCGCCAAGGAAGAAGAGGGAGGGGGAGGAGGGGGGCATGTTGAGCGGGTGGGAGGCGCGGGAGCTGGTGAACTCAGTGCTGCTGCGCCACATAAAGAAGGGCCTCCATTCGCCTATCGTCGTCGTGCGCAGGGTACTGCCCCTCCTCCGGCCCGACCCCACCACTGCTTGAGCCTGCTTTATAACACTCGTCTATCATTTCTGTCGTATACGCCGCTTTTTCTTGCCTCTCCCGTCCTTGTGCTCACCCGCTGCTTGTGCTCACCCGCTGCTTGTGCTCACCCGCTGCTTGTGCTCACCCGCTGCTTGTGCTCACCCGCTGCTTGTGCTCACCCGCTGCTTGTGCTCACCCGCTGCTTGCTCCCCCCTCTGCTGGCCCCTGAGTTGTGACACTGCTCCCATCCCCTGCCTGCATCTCCCTCTCTTCTGCTCCCCGCCACGCAGGAGTGGGTGCTGTTGCTCCGTGACGTGGCGCTACACATGGGTGCCACGTCACCAGTGGCGGAGCTGAGGTGTCTGGTGAGGGAGGATGACGTGGAGGCGGATTTCTTCCACAATCTCGTGCATCTGCAGACGCACCGCCGCGTGCGAGCGCTCTCCAAGTTCGCCGCCCTCTGCCCCACCGCGCACTTCTCCCCGGTATGGCCATCATGTGGCTGGTGTGTTCATTGACAGTATCTGAGGGTGAGACATGACGCTTTGCCTGGCACCCATCTCACATGCCACCTCATTCTTCTGCACCATGCCCCACACCTCTTATCCATGGCATGCAAGCATCCAGCACCGCACCACCACCCCACTATGTCCAGCGCGCAGCAACATCTCCCTCTCACCACCTTCACCTCTCCTCTCCCGCACTGCCTGCACGCATCCCTCTCCCCTCCCCCTTCCCCCACCCTCCCCCACCAGGAGGTGCTACTGGAGGCGGTGGTACCAGCGCTGCTGAGGCAGCTGGTGGAGGGGCGGCCGGACAGCGAGAGCGGCGTGATTGACGCCACCATGGCTGCCCTCACTGCCATGGCCGCCCGCCTGCCGTGGGCCGCCTTCCACTCCCTGCTCTCCCGCCTGCTGGCTCTGCTGCCAAGGCGCAGGGAGAAGGGCGAGCAGTGGTGGGAGGAGAGCAAGGGCAGGGGCCGGGGGAAGGGCGGCGAGGAGGTGAGTGCGGCGGGGCAGCGGGCGATTCTGAGGGCCATCTGTGGCGTGCTGGAGCAGGTGAAGCACGTGGTCGGGGGAGGGGAGGAGAAGGATGAAGGGGAGGAAGAGAAGTGCGAAGGAGAGGGTGCAGATGGGAAGGAGGGTGGAGAGGCTGGTGAAAATGATGGGGATAAGGAGATCACTGAAAAGGAGAGCGAGGGAGGGAAGGAGGAAAACAAGCAAGTGACAGTGACAGCAGCAGGGGCAGGGAAGGAGGAGGCAGGGAAGGAGGAGGCAGGGAAGGAGGAGGCAGGGAAGGAGGAGGCAGGGAAGGAGGAGGCAGGGGCAGCAGTGAGGGCACGCATGCAGGTGGTGTTGGAGAAAAACATCATCCCTCAGCTGTCCAAGCACCTCGTGGCAGGCGAGGCGGGGCGAGAGGAGGTCAACTCGCACGTGGCGCTCGCTGTCACGCGCACGCTGCTGCTGCTGCCGCCCGATGCCATCCGTGTGCACCTCCCCGTGCTCCTGCAGACTGTCGTCAACCCCCTCAAATCGCGCTCGCAAGGGACAAGAGACACCGCCCGGGCAGCACTCTGCCAGGTGGCGGGGGCGCTGGGTCCAGCGTACCTGGGGTACGTGATGGGCGTGTTACGCAGCGCGCTCACACGCGGGTTCGAGCGGCACGTGCTGGGCTTCACACTGCACGCACTGCTGCTGCACACCGCCTCCACGCACGGCCGCACCATGCCCCCCGGCGCACTGGACTACTGCCTGGGCGAGTGCCTGGCGGTGGCAGTGGAGGGGCTGCTGGGGCAGGTGGCGGAGGAGAGGGAGGTGGAGGCGGTGGCAGCGGGCGTGCGGGAGAAGCGGCAGAGCCGGTCGCTGGAGACGGTGCGCATCGCCGCCTCGCTCGTCAACGTGCGGCGCAGCACGGCCCTGCTGCTCGCCCCCATCCGTGCCGCCCTGCCCGCATCACTGGATCCACGCGTGAAGCGGGGCGTGCAGGAGATGGTCAGACATATGGCCATTGGGCTGCTGGCCAATCAGCACGCGACAGCTGGCGACCTGCTGGTGCTGGTGCACGCCGTGCTGTGGGAGGGCGTGCGCGTGGAACAGGCGCATGCGGCTGCAGTGAGCGAGCGGAAGCGACTGCGTGCGGAGGCGCGGGAGGGGAAGGGCGGAGGGGAAGGGAGGAAGGAGGAAGGGGGGATGGAGGGGGAATTGGGGGATGAGGAAGGGATGGAAGGGGAGGAAGCGGAGGGTAAAGGGGGAGGGCGAAGAAGGCGGAAGAAGCAGAAGGGGTTGGGGTTTGAGGAGCTGCCAAACGGCCATGTGGTGGCACTGCTGGGGCTGCAGCTGCTGCTCTCCCTCGCCTCCCACGACCGCCTGCCCGCCTCCGACGCCGCCCTCACGCCGCGCCTCAACGCCCTCGTGCACCCGCTCTCCCTCACGCTCTCCTCCCCCCACGACCCCGTCCTCGCTGCCTCCTTCCGCGCGCTCGCCTTCCTCCTCCACCGCCGCCTCCCCTCTGTCGCCACCGTCGCTCCCCGCGTTGCCACGTCAGCGTTCAAGGTGGTGCAGCAGGCGGGGCGGGCGGCGGCAGTGGCGGGTGGCATGGTGCACTCGTGTGTGAAGCTGCTAGCGGTGCTGCTGGACCGATGCCCCGAAGTGAAGGTGGGAGAGGAGCAGGTGAGGGCGCTGCTGGGCAGTGCCGTCTTCACGGACCTCGAGCTGCCCTCCACTCGCACCACCGCGTTCGCCGTGCTGCGAGCGCTGCTGCGGCGGAGAGTGGTGGTGCCGGAAGTGTATGACGCCATGGGGCGCGTGCAGCTGCTGCTGCTGCGCTCCCACACGCCCTCCGTGCGCCAGCTCAGCGCCGCGCTGCTGCTCGCCTTCCTGCTCGACTACCCACTGGGTCCCGCGCGCTTGGAGGCACATCTGAGCTTCCTGATAGTGAACCTCAAGTACGAGCACCAGAGCGGGCGAGAGGCCGTGCTGGGCATGCTGCGCGGCATCATCGAGGGATTCCCCTCCGTGCTCGTGGAGGCACACGCCGATACCTTCTTCCTGCCGCTCGTCACGCGCCTAGTCAGCGATGAGTCGGCGCGCGTGAGGCAGCTGGTGGCAGCAGTGCTGAAGGCGCTGTTCGTGCGAGTCAAGCCGCCCACGTGTGCTCGTCTGCTGCGCTTTGCCTCTGCCTGGCTGGTGGACCCGTCCCCCCAGCTGCAGCAGGCGGCAGCGCTGGTGCTGGGAGTGGCGGTGGAGGCGGTGGGGGTGGGCGGCGAGCAGGGCGGCATGGTGGGCACGTGGATGGGTGCTGCTGCGCGCATTGTGCGGCGGGCGCAGGGAGGGGAGGAGGGTGAGGGGGGAGTGGAGGGGTGGAAGGGAGTGTATGCGTGTGTGGTGCTGGCTGAGAAGGTGCTACAGCGGGAGGGTGGGCAGGCGCACAGCAGCAGCATGCGAGCGCTGTGGCGACAGCTGCCGGCGCTGCTTCTGCACCGCCACTTGTGGGTGCGCGCTGCTGCCTGCCGCCTCCTGGGGGCGTACCTCACCCATGCCACTGCTGCCGCCGCTGGTGGTGGTGGTGGTGGTGGTGGTGGTGGGAGTAAGGGATTGTGTGGGACAGAGGAGGAGGGGTTGAAGGCTGTGGTGAAGAGCCTGGTGGAGAGGGGCGAGCAGGATGAGGGGGAGGACGAGGAGGAGGATGAGGGGCGGGGGACAGGGGTGGAGGTGTGGCAGGTGCTGCTGCAGCCATCGTACTTGGTGGTGGTGGTGGGGGCGCTGTGCCGCGTGCTGGAGAGCAACAGCAGTGACGAGCGCCTGGCACAGCACACCGTGAAGAACCTCGTTGCCCTCGCTCCCCTCCTGCCCCTCCTTCCCTGCCGCGCTGCTTCTGCTGGCGCTGTTGGTGGTGGGATGGAGGGGGGAAGGGAGGGGCGATCGGGGTTGGTGGTGGAGTTAGAGGGGTGTGCGATAGGGCGGGAGGGCAGGGGGCGGTTGAAACTGGGATGGCAGCTGCTGAGGGTCAGGAGGAGGGAGGAAGAGAGGAAGGGGGGTGATGGCAGTGATGGCGAGGAGGAGGAGGAGGAGGAAGAGGAAGAGGAGGAGGTGGTGGTGGGAGAAGCTGAGGGAGGGATGGAGGGGGGGGTTGAGGAGGAGGAGGAGAAGGCAGAGGAGCAAGAGGAAGAAGAGAAGAGCGATGAGGAAACATACCTTGTAGACTTTGGGGAGGGCAATGCTGTGGCTGATGCTGCTGCTGCTGCTGCTGATGCTGATGCTGATGCTGATGCTGCTGCTGATGCTGATGCTGATGCTGCTGATGCTGATGCTGATGCTGCTGATGCTGCTGCTGATGCTGCTGATGCGGATGCTGATATGCAAGCAACAGGTGCGGGCGATGGGAACATCATGTTGGGCGAACCAGTAGGAGAGGGCAGCGGGGAGGCAGGGGATGGGGATGAGGCAGAGGAGTGGCAGCAGAGCGATGGGGTGGAGGGCGGTGCAGAGGAGGGCGGTGCAGAGGAGGGCGGTGCAGAGGAGCAGAGCGATGGGGAGGGGCAACTGGATGGGGTTCACATGGAATCAAGGGAGGAGGGAAGGAAGGAGGGGGGAAGGAAGGAGGGGGGAAGTAAGGAGGCAGCGCGTCACATAGCGTTGGGAGCGGTGATGAAGGCGGTGGCACGTGTGGCACACAGAGTGAAGCCCATTCAGGTGCGCCCTTGCATGTGCTGTGCTGCTCGCATGTGCCACTGCCAAGGCACTCCATATCTCTGCTCTCCAATGATTTTCCTGCTTCCACCTGCCCTCACATCACCTTCCCCTCTCGCTGCACCTCATCCATCTCATCTCTATCCTCTCGCTGCACCTCATCCATCTCATCTCTATCCTCTCGCTGCACCTCATCCATCTCATCTCTATCCTCTCCTCCCCTTCTCGTCCCCTGCCTCCCCCCCCCCCCTTCCCCGTCCCGGTGCACGGCGCTCACCAGACGGCAGCAGCGTTGCGGTGTGTGGCAGCACTGGCGACAGCGCTAGGAGGGGAGGGGGTGCGGCCGTACCTTCCGGACGTCATGCTGCCACTCTTCCGCCTCTCACAAGGCTCCGCAGGCGCTGTTGTCCCACGTGAGCCCCCGTCCACACCTCTGCACCCATGTGCACCTTTTGTTTTTTGCCCTTGGGTGCACCTATTCATGCCATAGCACCGATCTGTCTGCCCGTAGCAATGCGTTTGCTGTGGGAAGCACAGGCCTTTGCTGCTTGCTCACCGTGCAAGCCATGCCATGTTGGTCCACCTCTTTGACAACTCCAACATTGTCCGCTCTCCCCACTTTCTCATCCTTCATCTCTTTCTCCCTCCCCTTCTGCTTCCCGCCCCCCCTCCGCCCCCCTGCTCCCCCTGTGCGCAAGAAGCAGCGGAGGTGCAGGCGGTGGTGGGCGAGGTCGTGGAGCACGTGCGCCACGAGGTGGGCCCCGCCGTCTTCATCGCCGCCTTCTCCGCCGCCCGCGACACTGCCAGGAGGCGGGCGGCGGCGAGGCGGGAGGCGGCGCGGGTGAGCGTGCTGGTGGACCCCGAGAGGCACGCTCGGCGACGGGCCAGCCTGGCACGCAAGCGAGGCGAGTACAAGAAGAGGAAGAACCAGCAGCACCGCCGCAGCAAGATGCGGTGATGGGAGGAGGGAGATGGCTTTTGCACAGCCACACGTGTACAACTTGCGCTGTTGTAGGCGCGTTTTTGCAAGCAGCAGTTTTGAAATGCAATGCTGTATTCACCTTCAGGGGTACACGTAATAAAATTAGTAAAACAAGAACGCTAGCGAATTGCCATACAGCATGTGAACTGTAAATTAATCTCTGATCTGATTACAAAGCACTTGGCGGCACAGTGGCTGCATCCATGCAGCAGCAGAGCTGGCAGACGATTGCACGCAACTCCAGCCCCTCACTACAAGTTACACGTGGAGCTGCTGCACCATGAACCATAAAATCAATACAAATATCACCCTAACAGGCTACCAACAAAATTCTACTCGATAAAGTAAGCGGCGGTGGTGTTGGGGGTGCGGGAGCCGTCGGTGTGTTGGCACTGCAGTGACAAGTCGACGTCCATGAGGCGGTGGTTCTTGTGGGAGCGGCGGATGTGCATGGCGCCCGACACCTCATCGCCCTCGCGCACGTGGAGTGGGTGTGCCAGCAGGAACACCTGCTGCCCCCAGTGCGTGCCCTCGTCCACACTGGGCGCTGTCGTCAGCTGCACCTCGTGCACTGTTGGGTCCGTGGCTGACCCCTGTGGGGGGTTGAGGGGGAGGGGGTGGAGGAGGGAAGGGGAGGAGAATGGAGGGCGGCGAGGGGGGCAGTAACGACAGCAGAGGGGGGAGGAGAGGGCGATTGCGGGAATGTTGGTGGCACGCGGTCACTGGAGCAGCCCATGCGATGCTCGAGGAGTCTACAAAGACAGGATGGGTCGTTGCAAGAAGGGATACCTCAATGAGCACATTGAAGCGGCCCCACTCACCTTAAAGAGCACATCAAACCACCCCCCGATGGCGTTGACGGGCTTGTCAGCGGCGAAGGTACGCGTGGTAAAGGTTGCCTTCACCTCCTCCACGTCCGCCACAGTGGCCGTGGCACAGTCTATCTCGCGGATCATGACGGGCCGCCCCAATACCTGCGATGGGTACAGCGACTCCCAACACCCTGTCTGCCAGCGGGCGGGGGTCGCGGGATGAGGGAGGGAGTGAATGGTGCAAGGAATGGAAAACAGCAGATCAGGGGCGTGCGTAGAGGGAGCCGGGAAGAGGGATTTGGGGGGTTTGTGAGAGAGGGAGTGAAAAAGGGAGTGGGAGAGACGGATGGGCGAAAGGAAGCAGGAGGAAGGGAGTGAAAGAAAGGGAGTGGGGCGGAGGGAGGAGGGGGGAGTACTTGGAGGAAGTACTTGTGCTGCTCGGCCTCGTACGCCTGGTCCAGCACCGCCATGTCCACACCGTAGTCCTCCCTGGTGCTGCGCACGAAGCTGCGCCAGTCGCCCATGCTGCTGCGGAACTCGCCCATGCGCCCCTCCCACAGACTCGAGTGCACCGGCGCCACCCACATGCGCGCATGGCTGGGGAACCTGCAGCGCACAGGGGGGCGGACCAGAGGGGCGGACCAGGGGTGGAATGAGCTGGCATGGTGGTGGGAGGCGGCAGGAGGGCGTGTGAGCACGCAGAGAGCCGAATAAACAATGGCCAGAGTACCGGGCACAGCACAGTTCTCCTGAAAAATGCTTCACTCCCCCACCCCACCCAGTCCACAACCCCCCCGCCCCCACTCTTTCCCCCTCTTCCCCCTCCCCCCCGCCTCGCGCACTGACAGGGAGCCTCCCGGTTTGAGCCAGCGGTCGCGGGCGACGAGGACGGAGTCGAGCATGGACTCGCGCACCAGGAAGTACCCCATCCACTCGCTTATTATCACGTCCACTGCCCGCCCAGCCAACAGGAGTAGGGAAGGGCGGAGGGAAGGGGGGAGGGGAGAGGGAGGGGAGTGGGAGGAAGAGGGTGGTGGAGGAAAGTATGAGGGGAAGGGAGCAGGCGGACTGGAGAGTGGAAGCAAGGGAATGTGAGTGATGAGTACAGTGGGGGAACGAGGGAGTGCATGTGCAAGAGACCGTGACGAGCAACTCTCTGCCTCCTCGCACAGGCCCCCACGCACCTTTCTCGGGCAGCTGAACGTCCTCCACGCTCTCCTGCAGCACCGTCACGCGCTCCGCCACGCCATTGGCGCGCGCCAGCGTCTCCGCGTGCTGCGCCATGTCCGTCGCCTCCACCGCGTACACGCGCCGCGCGCCCGCCTGCGCCGCCCAGATCGCCAGAATGCCGCTGCCCGTCCCCACGTCCAGCACCACCTGCGGGGCGCGCGGGAGAACGGGGGCGGGGGGCGGTTCTTGGGGATGGGGAGAGGAGGTATCGGATGGGGCGAGAGGCAGCGGCCCCTCCAAGGGAGAGCTTGTGGGGGCGAAGGGAGCGGGGAGCGCAGAGGCGACAGGGTTGAGGGTTCCGGGGATGGTGGTTGCTGCGTTGCGCGGGGAACGTGGGCAGGCGAGATGGCATGGCGAGCACGGGGAGGAGGTGAGGGGGCAAGGCACGTGGGGATGGCGAGAGTCGGAGCAAGGAAGGAACTGGGGTTGCGGGGTTGAGGGGCTGGGGAGGAGCTGGTAATTGACGAAGTCCTGGATCTGACGGGCCAAATGCAATGCGGGTACGCTGTAATCGGGTGCAAGGAACCGGGGCCGCGCAGAGCGACGGGTGGGTGACGCCTCGATATTGACGGTTGCTGGATCCTTCTCATTGGAGAAGTTTAATCGGATCGCGATTCATTAGTGAAACACGGCCGAAACTCTTGCCCACACAGAACTGCGACTCGATCTCACCGAGGCGCAAAACTCGATCGCACCTTATCGACGAAGTGCGCCTTATTCTTCATGACCGCGTCGCGATACGCGTTCATCCGCACGCGGTCCGACAGCATGTCCTTCTGGTGGTACAGGTACGCGTACGTGCAAAAGTAATTCGCGAAATCCGCCGCCTTGTCTACCTGCGGCCGCCCGCCGCTGCCGCCTCTGCCGCTCATCGTGGCGGGCGCTGGGGATGCGTGGATGAAATGTGCGACGGGGACGACGGTCGACGCGAACAAACGGGCGGGCGAGAGCGGCGGAAAAAGGAAGACCTTTGTACGCGAGGCGAGGAGACAGAGGCGTGAGAGAGGCTGGCCAGCCAAGCTCCTGAGATGGTTGTGGTGAATGGCACGAGGCGATCCAGCAGCGTGCAGTGGGCTGGAAGCAAAGCAAGCGGCTGGCTCACTGACTACTGGTGAATGTCGCGCTTGTGATCGATCAAGTTCCTTCGCACAGCATGTTTCCCTCATCATCAGAAAGCCTGGAGCATACTGTACTCGACTCGCTATAGTTTTGGGGTCGTAATTTGATGTTTAATATTGCACCTTATGTGTTGGCTAAATTGGCGGAAAATTTGTGGTTGTTTGTTCTTTGTGGCTGCAAGATATTTTCCAAACACTTTTGTCCATTCGGTGGTGATGACATGGAGCGCAACGGGCTCGCGTCAAACCAGATCGGCGGGGAGATATCGAGAGGCTCAGGGCTGTCGTCAGACGAATAGCCGACGTGGAGGGTACTCAATGGCTGCGTATTTCCTAAGGTGACCAAACATTGCACTTTTTCGCCTGCCCAGTCGAGAAAGCAACGCAAACAGTCAGGCTGACCAATTTCCACGAACTCACTCGCAGCACAGTGGTCCCTCCCTCCCACAGCGACGCTGCCCTTGGGGGAATCGGGCAGCATGTGGCTGTGAGGGAGGCTCGCCCAGCTTTCGCCCTCCTTGGGAAGGGGAGTCTCGGCCCACGGGGAATGGGATGGGATGGTGATGGCAGGGAGCGGGGCAGGCGAGCGGTCGGGCAGCATGACGAGTCAAGGGCGGGTTGCTGTGAGGCGGCGACCACGCGGAGAGGCGGTTGATGGCGACGGTCTGACGGCGTCCCTCGCAAGCAATCTCCATCCGCATCGACCCTCAACCTCCTCGAGTTTCTCGTCTCCCTTTCTAAGGCCTTGCCATTTTCCCTCTTCAAGAGGAAGTTCAGCTAGATTCCAGCGCCAATCCCTCGGACGGTCCGTAGTGCGCACACGGCCCTGTCACATGACCGCGTCAGTAGCAGCATCAGTGCGAGCCGTCCCACCATGGCCACCCATCTCGTGTTTCACCGCACGCTAAGCTCCATGCACCTGTCCTCCACCGATCAGCGTCGCGATGCGTGCCGGCATGACGAGCCCTGCGCGGAAATCGCCGCGAGTCCCGCAGCCGCACCGAGCAGCACGGCGACGATAGTTGAGCGCGGCGTAGTCTGCGAAGTGCCGCTGGACGCGCAGCGCGTCGCCGCGAGCTCGCCGTGGTCGTACGGCGCGATGGACGGCGACGACTTCTGGCGGCCTCCGCCCGGCGCGCGGCTGTCGGACGCGACGAGCGCCGACTTCCTCAAGCGCTGCGCCTTCTGCCGGCGGAGCCTGGAGCACGCGGACGCCTTCATGTACCGGTGAGCCCTGCGCGCGCCCCTCCGCAGTTGGCCCGTGCGATCTCCTTCCCTACTGGCGATGCGGAATTGCTTTCGCTCATAGATTTATATGGATCTACAAGGTTTTACATGGCTGCGTGCTAACCCCGTGATGGGCGTGCTGAGCGTGCAGGGGCGACAAGGCGTTCTGCTGTCTGGAGTGCCGGCAGCACCACATGATCGTATACAAGCGCAAGGCATGGCTGCACCTCACCGGCCGCCGCTTCTCCATGGTGCCACTCGCTGGGTAGCCCACTCACCAATGGAGGGTGGTGTGGAGGGTGTGGCATGGGGGTTCCTCGTCAGTGGCTACTTAGAGCTTTGCTACACCTCTCGTGATAGGCATAGGCGTACACTTACCAGCAGTGGACATCCCACCCATTCTTTCCATTCTTATCACCCTAGTTAGCATTCAGCTAGGTTTTCCTGATTCCCAGTTTCTTAATCAGTCTTAGTTTGCAGATATTGCCTGTATATGTGGTTAGAAAGTTGGTACAAAGACTCAACTGCTTCTAATCCATACACAACCTCTAACGACAATCATGAAGGAAAGCCTTGCTATACTCTCAAAGAATGGTTGTCCCAGACACGGTATGTACGTAGTTCCATCACTACTAGTCATCCTTGCGCTCTGCCAGGAACTGCAGGAGCGCCTCGCGGGTAAGCTTGGCCACAGTAGTGCCGCGCTGTGCTGCCACCTCCTGCAGCCGCCCCGCCAGCTCATCGTCCACTGTGATGCGCCGCGCCATGCCCCGCTGCCTCGCCGCTGGCGCCGTGTACGTGCCCATGTACTCCTTCATGGCCTCAAAGCCCTGCCATGCCCACCAACACCACCACACAGTGACACTTGAAACGAGAGCATGGAGTGCACCAACTCGTATGTGGTCAATAAGGGCAGAGAATCAGAGTCTTGGCACAGCTCTGCAGAAGGAGTGCCCATGAGCATGGGGCAGACCACACCCAAGGGATAGTTCTCAACTTGTCACCCACAAGCAGCACTCACCCTTAGAGCAACACTGGACCACCAGGCAGCATGCACCCACCCCTAGGGCAGCACTCACAATGCGGTTGGTGAAGTCCCCAAAGGACTCGCCCTTGTGGCCAAGCGCCTTCCACATGGCAAAGAGCGGCTCCAACACCGCCTCTAGCTCGCCCACCTTCACCTTCTCCAGAAACACCCGAGCCAGCTTCGTCTGGTTCGGCGTGCCGCCCAGCCACAGCTGCCAGACACACATGGGGAGGGAAGGCGGGAGGGGAAAGACAAAGCTCAGTTGTTGGTGGGGGGGCAAGTCAGTGTAGGCCAGGCATGGAGGAAGCAGCATGGTGCATGACGAAGCAGTGGGCACCACTCATGCAGCTCTCAACAGTCGGCACTCAGCATTTGTGTATGGATTGACACGATAAGGACCTGGTAGGAGTTGGCGCCATCGCCCACGAAGCCCAGCTCCGCCACATAGGGCCGCGCACAGCCGTTGGGGCAGCCCGTCATGCGCACCACCAGTGAGTGCGCCTGCTGCTGCCTCAGCCCCACCTGCTCCATGCCATGCCATGCCATGCCATGCCACGCCATGCCAAGCCATGCCATGCCATGCCATGCCATGCCATGCCATGCAATCCCATGCCATGCGAGGCAACAAGAAAACACCAGGCACAATACACGCGCAAGGCAAGGACGTTAGACCGTATGCATATGGTTCCTCGTGCTCTCACACACAACAGCCACACGGTCCCATAAGCCCTCGCTGATCTTCCTTCACTCATGCTCACACGCCCCACCATCTCCCCCACACCTCCGTTATCCCCACTACCATAGCTCCAGCACCGGGCCCAAAACGCCCCCCTCCCCTGCCCTCCCCCCCCCCCCTTCCCCACCTTGTCGAGCATGGCGCGGATGCGCTTGAGCACGGCGGGCAGCCCCCTCTCCGCCTCCGTGATGGCCAGCCCGCACAGCGGCAGCGCCGGGCACGCCATGGCCGTCAGGTTCAGCGGATCCACGTACTGCTTGCCCTGTGAGGTCACATGTGGTGGGTGCAGGGGGGCGACACGGGCACACCACGGTTGTGGCATCCACCGACACAGGAATGTAGTGGAGAAGGGCGTGCATGTACGTGTGCATGTACGTGTGCATGTAGTTGTGCATGTACGTGTGCATGTAGTTGTGCATGTAGTTGTCCATGTAGTTGTGCATGTAGTTGTGCATGTACGTGTGCATGTAGTTGTGCATGTACGTGTGCATGTAGTTGTGCATGTACGTGTGCATGTAATTGTGCATGTAGTTGTGCATGTAGTTGTGCATGTACGTGTGAGTATGTGGGGAGAGGGGATGAAGGAGAAATCTCTCATGCCTCAACAGGATGCCCCCTCCTCCCCCACCGTGCCTGTCCCCTGGCCTCACCAACATGCCCCCTTCCCCCTTCGCCCTTCCCCCATGCACCCTTCCACAAGTTCCAACTTCCCCCATATCCTGACCTCACCTGAATGCACCCCCTCTCCCCATGAGCCCACAATCACAGCATGCCCCTCCTCCCAACTCCCCTGCCCCCTCCCCTTGCCTCCCCCACTCACAAGAATGCCCCACCTCCCCTCCCCCCCCTCTCTTTTCCCACCCCCCCCCCCCCCCCCCACGGCACTCACGAGGATGCCAACAGCGGCGAGCTCCTGGGTGATGCGGGGGCGCCATGCCTTGCGCACGTCGCACAGCATCAGGTTCTGATTCGCCGAGATGCGCACGGGCAGGTTGTACTTTTCAATCACTGCCCGCAGCGCCTTCTTCGCCTCGCCCTTGATGCGCCCATTCTCAATGTGCAGCCCGTAATACAACTGCCCGTCGCCCTGCCACGCGGTGCAGTGCGGTGGGGTAGGATGGGGTGTGGTGAGGCGTCTAACAGAGTGTGGAGGGGGGGAAAATGGCGTACGCATTACGTGAAGATGTGTGCAAATACAACCACATGAGAATGTGCAAGCACGAGGACAGATGGGGGGCGGGGAAGGGGAAGGGGAAGGGGGGGAAGGGGCCACGGGGAGTAAGGAGGTAGCAAGGGAGGGCGTGAGCACTGCAAGACGGGCACGCAGCTGGCCGCACCGCACAGCACAGCACAGCACAGCACGCCCTCTCCTCGCCCGTGCGGCGGCTCACCTGCTCGCCCCAGCCGACGTAGGGCTTGGACTGCCATTCGGGCAGGGGGCGGAAGGGCTGGAAGGGCTTGCCAAAGTACTGCTCCGTCACCGTGCGGAAGCGGTCAATCCCCCAGTCGCGGATCAGGTACTTGAGCCGCGCCTGCGCGCGCACAGGGGAGGGCAAGGGGAGGGTCCGGCGTATGGGAGGGGAGGGGATGCGGGCAGGAGCACATGGCAGAGATTTGATGGATGGAAAGTGACAGCATGCGAGCGGGGAACGCAACCAGTGCAAGGACGATAAGTGCCCCCCTTCCGTTCCCTTGTATCTCCCCCACCATCCATGCTTGCAGGATCCCACACCCCTGCCCCCTAGCTCCTCGTCTTCCCCCCTCGCCTCCCCACCTGCTTGCGGTCGTCGCGGCGCCCATAGTCGCGCTGGGTGGCGACGATGGCCTTGACGGCGTACAGCACGTCCTCCGCCGCCACGTACCCCAGCGGCTCCGCCAGCCGCGGCTCCGTCTGCTCGTTGCGGTGCGACCGCCCCATGCCGCCACCCACCTGCCATGGCCGCGCGGGAGGGGGCAGGGGAGGCAGAGAGAAGGCGGGGAAGGGGAACAGAGAAGGGAGCAGGGTTCGAAGAAGAAGCTGTGATGAAGACTGCATATGACATTTCGTGCAAGGCTCACTGCGGACCCCATCCTCCGCCTCCGCGCGCCCTTTGCCCCTACAAAACCCAAAACTCCGAAATCCAAACCCGAAACCCTGAAGCGCGCGCAGCACATCGCTCACATAGATGTTAAAGCCCTGCAGCTGCCCCGTGGCGTCGTCACAGAGCACGACGAGCCCGAGGTCGTTGGTGAGAATGTCCACGGAGTTATCGCCGGGCACGGTGATGGCAATCTTGAACTTGCGCGGCAGGTACTGCGTGCCGTAGATGGGCTCTGCGCTGCCCTCTATGTTCGTCCCGAACCGGTTGTCCGCGCGAGCCTCCACCACATCCGTCGGCGCCTCCGCCGTCAGCACCTGGCGCGGAGAGGGAGGGCGCGAGCCATGGCGGGGGGGGAGATTGTTGGATGAAACCAGCCACAGGGGCGGAAGGGAGAGGGTGACGCAGAGGGAAGTGTGAGGTACAGGAGGCAACAGGAAGACAAGTCGAGACTAAGGAGAGTAATAGCCTGATGCTTCAACATCAGTTCCGTTTCACCAATACGTCACCGCCTGAATGCAGCCGCGCAGGATCCACGCGCATGCGCGCCTTCCCCCATGCGCCCCTTTCCCCCATTTCCCCCATGCACCCCTTCCCCCCATCCTCCCTGCGCGCACCTTCTCGCCGTCCAGCCACACGTCGTAGTAGGCGCCGGACTGCGGCTCGAGCAGCGCGGCGATCTTATCGGCGTACTCCTGACAGTAGCGGTACGCGGGGCGGTCGACGAACGGCACCTCGGGCGCGAGCACGTTGCGATTCAGGTCGCCGCACGCGCCGAGCGTGGACCCCATGCTCTTGATCACCGTCGCGAACACCTCCTTCAGATTCGCCTTCAGCACTCCGTGCAGCTGCGCGCGCCCAGCGGGGGAGCGGATGGGGTGAGGGGGGGGGAGAGAGGGGGGTTGGGAGGTGCTGAGCGGAGATGGGGGGCGCACACCTGCTGCGCAAACGGCGCGCACAGGCTCGCAGCGTGCGAGCTCGCCTCTTTGGCAGCGCGGGAAGTAGCGGGAGGCGGGAGGAAGCGGGAGGCGGAGAGCACCAGGAGGCCGGGGATACCGGGGGGCGTGGCGTGGGGCGGTCCGCACCTGGAAGGTCTGGCGCGTGGTGAGGCGGAGCGCACCTGGAAGGTCTGGCGCGTGGTGAGGCGGAGCGTGCCGGAGCCGAACTGGTCGGCGAGGTCGTCCATAGCGAGGTATAGGCGGTTGTGCACCTTGCCGCCCGGCTGCCGCGTCCGCATCATAAACTGGTACGCGCGCCCGCCGCCCCCCTGCCGCGCCTCGCGGTCGTCCTGCATGTAGCTGCCGTGGAACTTGATCAGCTGCGCGCACCGCCGCGGACGAGGGGGGGATCGCAAGAGAGGCGCGCACAGGCGCACAGAGGCAAAGCAGGGGAGAGCACACGAATAAGTCGCAATAAGGAAGCGCAGACGATCGTGGCACGTCAGTGACGAGCCGTCAGTCGAGAATATCACCGGCAACTATCTCTGAAAATCAGTCGCAGTCTGGCATCAGTGCTTTCGTTAAAGCTGTCGTCAGTGCTGTGGTCAGATCTGCCTGGCGGGAGTGCTGTCGGAAGTACGGAGAGCGCACAGGTGCGCACGAGGAACGGCAGGCAGGGTGCGGACGATCGGGAGGCGCGCCTGCTCGGAGGCGGCGGTGACGCACCTGCTCGGAGGCGGCGCTGACGTTGGGGAGGTCGTTCTTGAGATCGTCGATGAGCGGGTAGCGCAGGTAGTCGCTCTCCTCCTTGTATATCTCCACCTTGCTCCTCTTCGCCGCTCCCGCTGCCGGCGCCTGCACGGGCTGTGCACGGCAGCCATGCACACGAGACATGCAGACATGCGGACGAGGGATGCAGAGATGCGGACGAGGGATGCAGACATGCGGACGAGGGATGCAGAGATGCGGACGAGGGATGCAGACATGCGGACGAGGGATGCAGAGATGCGGACGAGGGATGCAGACATGCGGACGAGGGATGCAGAGATGCGGACGTGACATGCAGACATGCGGACGTGGCATGCAGGCACGCATTCACGCAAGGCGCTAAGGAGCATGAATACGTGTGATGGACGCGAGGCACAGGGGCAACGACGGAGTAACGAGTTCGTGTCGCGCACATGACGGCTGCAATCGAACGACAAGCTTCTCATCGCATAACAACTTTCTCCATGTCAGAAGGACGGATCTTGCCGAAAGAACGGGATCTTGAATAATAAGTAGATTTGAACTAAGAGAGTGTGTGAACGCATGCAGCACGAGCGGCCTACAGTGGCGGTGGCTTGAACACGGCTTGGCGATGGCGACGCGCCTGCCGATGGAGCGGCGGACGCGACGACGGTGGACCGATCATTGCGGGCGGCGCGCAGCCCGTCGAACGTCGCGAACTTGGAGGAGGCGGACGTGAGAGCCGCTGTCGCCATGGCGGCCGTGCGGCGGTGGTGACCAAGCGCGGGGGATAAGACCAGGGTAGGCGTAACACCCTGTTCCACCAGTATCAAGGAGTGGAGTGCAATAGGTAAACCCGAGAAGAGCTATGTTGTGGGCTTGTTGAAAATGGCTGTGCTGCAGGGCAGAGGGGGTAAGGGGATGATGGGCCTAAGGGAAAGGAAGGGGTGATGTGGAGGGGGGTGAGTGAATGGCCCTTGAAAGTGCCGAAAGGATAATGTCGAGAGCCAAGAACGGCGGAATGAACGGCAGAGATCCGAAGACGAACCAATCGGGTCGAATCACGCCAGAGATACTTCGGGAGGAAGTGGGGGTGGTTCTCGGAAATAGAGGATTTCCTGACGTAAGGGTAACCCGGTGTTACTTCTCTGGAAAATATCATGGAACATACGCATCTGCGCGACCTCATTATCCGATATTGAGATGTTGTTAGAAATAGTGGTGCCCTAAACCAAAGTTAGTATGAATTCGCGAAGGGACTGGGATGGATGTGAGCAACAAAGCGACTGACATTCTAAAACGCGGAGCTCAGCCATTTCTGAGCCATTCATGCTTCGCGCTTTCTTTCTACTCCTGTGCGGCCCAAGCAAGCAGCATTCCACGCATGGCTCCCTCATTCCCTCTCGATCGCTTCATCGTCGCACGCCTTCATGCGAACGCGACGGCTCGACATGCGACGGTGCTGCTGGTCGGTTGTGATGAGCCTGCCGTCGCAGCCGTCGCCAATGGCATCGCCGCCAGCGCCATCTTCCGCGACGCGTCCCTCTCTCAGGTCGCCCTGCACATTCCGCGTCTTTCTTTACTAATCCTTCTTTCGCGCCTTCCCTCTTTCCGTCATTGCCATGCATTCACTCGCTATTTCGCCCCTCTTCCCCCCCCAGCCTGGAGCATCTCTCCGCGTAACCGAGCGGATTGTCAACCGCGCCCCCCTGCGCGCCACCATCGCCGCCGCCTGCTTCCGCCCGCCCGCGCACGAAGCCGACGCCCTCGCCGCGGCCATGCGCCTCCGCCAGCACCTGCTGGCCGCCCGCCCTTCTGACGTCATCGTGTTCGTTGGGGGAGACGCGGAGAGGAGCGAGGCGGAGGGGCTGGTGATGCGCGCGGTGGGCAAGGCGCTGGGGGCGGACGTGTGGGCGCACGCGGTGGTTGTGGACGCGGGGAGCGGGGGAAGGGAAGTGGGCGAATCCGCGGAGGGGGAGGAGGCGAGACGGGCAGCGTTGGAGCAGGCGGTGGGAGCGGAAGCGCGGTGGGGCGTGCCGTGTGTGGCGTGGCGGGCGGAGTGCGGGGCGGCCGCGGAGGCCCTGGGGGACGCCATGGCAGGCGTGGTGCGCGCCACAGCTGCTGCCTTCTTCCCCGCGCCCCTCCCCGCGCACACCAACGCGGACGCCTCGTCCGTGCTCGATTTCGATGACCTGGCAATGCTGTCAGACCACAACATTGCCACGTCAGCTGCAAAAGCCTCTCTCACGCTCGCCTCACCGTCGCCCCCCTCCGCCGCTCCCAAGCCCACTGCGCCCGCTCCTCACAACCCCTCCCCCGCTGTTGCTATGGCGCCTCCCTCCGCGCCTCTGCTGTCCGCTGCTCCTCCTTCCCCCCTTCCCCCGCCCTCCCTCCCTGTTCCCGCCTTTGCCTCTCTCTCCCTCGCCCTCTCCGCCTCTGCCCTCTCCTCTGCAGGCCCGCCACTGCTGTTTCCCGTCAGCCGGCCCCCGTCCTCCCTCTCCTCCTCTGCCCCGCTCGTCCGCCCTACCGCCTCCCGTCTTGCCCGCCTGACTGCTGTGTCAGCCGCACGCCCTGCACTGTCCTTCCAGAGCAAGTGCCTCGCCCCCATGCCTGTCATGTCGGCTTGCCACTTGGCAGCTGTCAACGGGCTGGCTGCTGACGTGTCACCCGCGCATGCAGCTGTGGGCCCCGCGAAGCAAGCAACGGCGTTCCCTGATCTGATGCACCTGGGCCGGCAGGCGGGCAACACCTGGTATGCACGTGGCATGGGAGAGCTGGCAGGCAGCACTAGCAGACGTCGTGTCATTCATCTCCCTTGCCCCCTCTCGACGTGCCTTCCTTCATTCCCATCTCTCCATCTCTCGCGCCATTCAACCAGTGTCGCTCCCTCTGCCCCTGCCGTGCCTCTCACCCCTCCCTGCACGCCCACAGCGACCCCAAGGGAGCAGCGGGGGCGCACAGGACGGTGGTGCAGTGGTTCCGCAACGACCTGCGCCTGCACGACAACGAGGCGCTCGCTGCTGCCCACAACGACGCCGCTGCTGTGCTGCCCGTCTACTGCTTCGACCCCCGCGACTACGGTTCGAACTTCCCCACCCCTCCCTCCTCCCCTCTCCCTCCTCTTCCCCTGCCACCTGCCGCTTCCTCGCCTAGCCACCCCCCCCCCCCCCTAGACAGACGCCTTTGCATGGCTGTAACGGCCACCGCTCTCTCCTCCTGCTCCCACCATGCATGCACCTCCGACCCCATCTGCCCCTTGGCCCCTGCCCACCACCCCTGTGCCCGCATGGCTGCGCGCAGGCAAGTCGGCGTCGGGCTTTGACCGCACGGGGCCGCACCGCGCGCGCTTCCTGCTGCAGTGCGTGGCGGCGCTGCGGGTGGCACTGCGGGAGCGCGGCAGCGACCTGGTGGTGCGCGTGGGGCGGCCTGAGGACGTGCTCCCGCGCCTGGCACGCGCGGTGGGGGCGCAGGCCGTGGTGCTGCAGCAGGAGGTGACGGCCGAGGAGAGCCGCGTGGAGGCTGCCGTGACCGCCCGGCTCAAGGTGGGACCGTGGGACGGTGGGATGTGGGAAGAAGTGGAATGCGGAGGAAAGCGAAATGCGGGGGAAGGTGGGATTCAGATTGAGTGGTAGCACGTACTGTAGGGGAAGAGAAAATCCAATAAGCATGTGTGAATCTTCTCTTGGCAAGTGCATGAGCGTGCACTCAACCCGTCGTACGTCCTTCATATGGATGGATGTGTGCATGTGCATGTGCGTGTGCATGTGCAAGTTTTTGGGCATGTGCGTGTGCGGACGTGGGCATGTGTGAGTGCATGTGTGTTGTTTCGTGTGTGTGGTGGCGGGCATGGCAGGAGGAGGGCGTGGAGACACAGACATATTGGGGCAGCACGCTCTTCCATGTGGACGACCTGCCCTTCGCCCTGCCCCACATGCCCTCCAACTACAGCGCCTTCCGTCAAGCCGTCTCCCGCATCCAGGTTCCCACCACGCCCCAACTCCCCTTGTTCCCTCTTACCCACTCTCTCTCTCTTCCCCCCTGGCTCTCTTGTCGTATGGTAACTCAAACCTGGATTGCGGTATCCGTGTTGAACCCTGTGATACCGTGGCTGTGGGTGCGGTGCAGGTGCGGGACATGGTGGAAGCACCGGAGCACCTCAAGCCCATGCCTGTCATGGGCAACGTGCAGCCAGGGGAGATTCCCTCTCTTGAGGCCCTTGGTCTCTCCACCATTCACCCTCCCACTCAGGTAACTCGTGAGGCTGCCACCTCATAAAGGTTCCAGCATGCCCACTTTGCTCTTCCTCGCCTCTTCCTTCCGTCTCTCCTTACTGATTATCGACGCTCACGGACAGCCTTGCTGTGTCTGTGCTTTTGCCAGAACGCTCACATGACCTCGATGCAGGGAGGGGAGGCCGAAGCTCTGCGCAAGCTCTCGGGCTTTGTTGCCGAGTCCAAGTGTGCTGCGGCTGGTTCCAAGGCCACGGCGCCCAGCAGCGGCCAGTACGGGGCGAGCTTTTCATGCAAGATCTCTCCGTGGCTCGCCATGGGGTGCCTGTCTCCTCGCCGCGTCTTCCACCAAGTGCTGCAGCTCGAGGGCTCTCTCGCGCAGCAGCTGTCAAGCAAGCCAGCAGCCAAGGCCAGGTGTGCGCATGGACAGATTAAGGGAAATGGGCATGTATGTGGCAGGCATTGCTCTGGTCGGGAGGGGTGGGTGTAGTTTCATGAGTTCAACTGCTTCATCAGGTTTCAAGCTCTGTCATCCCTGCCCACCTCCTTCAGGTTGACCGGACCCAAGGCAATCACTGCCACAGCTGCCAAGGAACCGAGCATGGACTGGCTGGTCTTCGAGCTTCTCTGGCGTGACTTTTTCAGGTACATTGCGGTGCTGACGGCTCTCAAGGAGACCATGCATTTCTTGCGCTAAAATACAGCAGCGCTTGTGTTTGTTGAATGGATGGTCACATGGGTTGCACAAGTGTCCTGTGCCCCCCCTACCCTACTTGTCCCCTACCAGGTTCATCACGAAACGCCACACTCTGGGGACACCTTCGCTCTCACCAGTGCCCGCATGATACGGCACTTGGTTGGTCAGCAATCTACTTGCAAGTTGTGAATGGATTTCTCACAATTTTATTCTGGCATGGAAGCTACCGTAGCTGACAAAAAAGCACATGCAGTTTCCAGATATGATAACTGCTGCAGCAGTAGGTTGAGATAAAGCAGAATGGTTCTCATTAGCATAATTCAAGTTGCTAGCAACACTGGTTATAATGAGAAACGACAGCTGAATCCCAATGCTAGTCTAACGACCATGGATTGCATGGCACTTCTCTAACCAATACAGGCAGGATGACAAGGGTTGGCAACAGTGGAACCTCTACTTGCCTACAGAAAGTAAGATGAAATTTGAGCCCACGCCCCTCATACAAAGAGAGGACATCCGTATAAGCCCCCCTCCACCACCCCCCCCTCCTCCTCCCCCGCCTTACAATCCTTCGGGAGAAATCTACTTGATGTACTGCGAAAGCCACTTAATGCCCTCACCATAACCCATCTTACGCACCACACTGCACATGAAGACTTCAATCGGTCTGATGTTGGACTCTGCCAAATTAACCTTCCCCTTCCCTGTCGTGTAGTTAGTCAGGCCCAGGGAATAACGAAGCTCATCTTCGGATGCGGCAGTTGGAATGTCGATTTTGTTTCCCAAGATCAGAAACGGCACGAGCGCCAGAGAGTCGTCTGAAAGTAGTCCATCGAGTTCCTTCTTCGACTCGATGAATCTCTCCTTATCAGCAGCGTCGACGAGGTACACTATGGCATCCACCTGCAGGGAAAACAGATGCTAATCGCTCAAGACTACCAGGGAGACTATATATGGACACGAGTAACAATAAATAACAGCAACCACTGACCTTCGCGTAATAGTCCTTCCAAACGCGTCGGGCTATCTGATGACCGCCGAGATCAAACGCCTTGAACTTGATCTTTCCGATACTCAGCTCTTCCGATGTTGGATGCTGTGTTGGCTGATGCTGAGCTAGTCTCTGCACCGACAAACCAGCATGAAGAGATCACCTTCTTAAGCAGCATGCAAACAAAAAATGGATCGAACGTCATTGAGAAAATTCTCCCGTGATCACCAATAGATTCAAGCAGCTCCACTAACTCACCTCATCCTTCAACATATGCAGCAAGGTGGTCTTTCCGGCATTATCTAACCCCAAAAACAATATCTTAGCCTCTTTCTGCCATAGACCGAGCGTAGCTAGAACGCTATAGAACCAGTCGACTAAGAACATGTTGACCTGATACTAGTCTCGAACGAACAAGATCCCAAAAACCTTCTTAAATTTTCCTAACTACGGTATGCTGGAATGGTGTGGGAATGCGCTGACTTGGCTGTTTCCTGTGAACGTAGGTCTGTGCGACGTGTGCGACCGTTGCCCTGATGTATGGGGTTTCGCGCCACTCACATCGCAGCAACAGATCCCCGCAATGGCCGAACAGCCCACAGCAAAAGCAGCAACAGCACTTGACCATATAAGGGAAACCGTCGCTAACAAGTACAAGCCCAATTGTTTCTCAAAATTGCAATGCAGTGATGCTCAAGTTTATTGGAAAAGCATTGATGAACGGACAACTTATCGACTCATGTGATAATGTCTTTTGGTTTTTACCTAAGAGGCATTTTAAAGCGAGCAGGCAAAATAGTCACCCTTGGCCCAGTTTGAAACTCTGGCACTGTTTAGAGAGGGTGCTCTGGGCTCGACAAGATGGGGCTCACTGTCCATTTGACCCGTGCCATTCCAAGGTACAGGCTGAAACAAAAACAGGCGATTGGACAACAATGTCCTGGGTCGAATGCGAACAATGGCATTGGTGGGTCTGCTCGCAAGCAAACGAAGGCACCGCGTGGGTTATCCTGTGCGACAGGGGATCGAAATCGAATGTCATGCTCTACTGGGAGAGGAGTACACGAAATGAACTGACGCGCTGGGAACAGAGCCACAAAACCAGGTGCAAAAACAGAAGTGCGCATGACTGGGTCCACTGGGCCCAATTTGAGCTTCAAAGTGGACCTGGGTTGCACTCTGGCTTGCCATACTATTTCACGTCATACGGCACTAGAGACTCCAGAGCAAAGGGAGAGTAACCCACCACGGCTTAGTAACGCGTGAAAGGGGCCGCGCGCGTAGCGTTGTTTTTCTGTTTCGGTCATAGCTGTCAATCGTGTGCCTTCTCAGTGCTGGCGCCGTCAGTATCAGCCAGAACAGAGCGAATGCAGTGATTATTCTTACCAACATCGAAGGAGATATCAGGGACAAGGTAGCGGGTAGCATAGATAGATGTAGCAAACAGGGACCCCATCGTTTCAGGTGTGACGGACTCAATGCGTTTCGCATATCATGTGAACACGTGACACTACGTTCAACGAGGACGAATATCTCGAATGTATACTCATCAGGTGCGATTCGGAACCGGCGTGAGGCGTATGGGAGCAAGCCATTACATCACGCATGCGACCGTGACGCATGCGGCCTCGTGATATGCTGCGCAATGCAGTAGAACAAACTGCAAGGCGCCCCTACTCGTTTTCTAACAGATTAGAAGCAACGTCGCGACCCCCCGTCACAGTCGAACACAAGGCGGCGCGAAGCGCCGAAGCGCGCTTGTGTTCGACATTGCATAGGCTCAACGCTGCACCTATTATTCAGATTTCGAACGGATTGCAACGCCTCGAACCTTGCCTACTAGATCCGCGCGGAATGCAAGGCATAGCGCCGCGCTTCTCGTTTAGGCACGGAATGCCTGATGCACAGCGCCGCGTCAGCTTGTTTCCACACGGAAACAAGTAGGGAAGAGCGCCACGCCTGCTTGGCGTCACACGGAATGCAAGGCCCAGCGCCGTGCCTGCTCGTTTTCACACGGAATGCAAGGCCCAGCGCCGTGCCTGCTCGTTTTCACACGGAATGCAAGGCCCAGCGCCGTGCCTGCTCGTTTTCACACGGAATGCAAGGCCCAGCGCCGTGCCTGCTCGTTTTCACACGGAATGCAAGGCCCAGCGCCGTGCCTGCTCGTTTTCACACGGAATGCAAGGCCCAGCGCCGTGCCTGCTCGTTTTCACACGGAATGCAAGGCCCAGCGCCGTGCCTGCTCGTTTTCACACGGAATGCAAGGCCCAGCGCCGTGCCTGCTCGTTTTCACACGGAATGCAAGGCCCAGCGCCGTGCCTGCTCGTTTTCACACGGAATGCAAGGCCCAGCGCCGTGCCTGCTCGTTTTTGTTAGAGGGCCCTACGACAGCAAGGGCCCTCGCGAAATGTTAGACTTGGCAGGTTGACGACCGACGACCTGGTCTACTCGGCACCGTCGCACAGGTTCGATGGCAGTCAAGTGTGACTACGGGTGAATGCGAGCTGCAGTAAGGAATCTGCTGAAGTCGGTGCTGGGAAGTAGAGTCGTGGGAGTCTTTGTGTGCTTCCTTATGAGGCACGCCACTCCCAAGCTGAGTCGGATGGAGTTGCGTGCTCGGAAGGTTTTCGCTGCTGAGTTGGATGGAAGTTTGGCGGGGCGCGTTCGCCAACTCCCACAGCACTTTCGTGTGGGTTGGGTTACTCGCAGCGCCCTCGCTACCTTTTGTGAACGCTTGCTTGCCTTTATATGTTTGTGTTTGCTTGTGTGTTTCATATATTCTATTTTCCTAGTGAAGTCCAATCTCTACTCAAATTCTCACTTAGTCATTTGAGACCAACGCTACCCAAACGCTACCGAATTCCTAGCGCAACATCATTCCCATAAGCAGAATCTCTCTCGCCGTCGTAGTGCTCTCCATAATATTCCTTCATGGTGCGGTGAGCGTGGAACGAACACGCATAGAATTCCGTCGTCGACTTTCTTAGCGTTCGTAAACTCGCCTTGGCGTGCGGCGTTAGTGAAGGGCGCATATTAAATTAAGTTGAACCTCTCTTAATTTCCCTCCAGTTACGTTCTCGGACCCAAGGATAGGGCGTTTGGTAATTTATTACCACTCGTCTGAGGACCCTTGTGAGGTGACCCCGAGACGAGGGATTTAAGGAAGGAACAATTTATTTTAATTTGTGGCACCTTATCGAGGCGTCGTAGAGGATGAGTTCGGAGGAGGCGGACGTTGAGGCCGTTAATTTTCGCGCACTAGAGGAGGAGCTCGTGGCACGTCGTTCCCGTGGCGAGCTTAGTAATGTAGATTACGAGCTCATGTTGGAGGGATTACGCTCTCGTCAGCGTCGCGATCATCCCTCGCCACATGTAGAGCAAGCTGCGGGAGGCACTAGTGCGTGGGACATGGCTGTCAATGACGGAGGTGACGATGACGAGGAGGTTGATGGGTTGATGTCGCGTGGGGTCCTGCGAGGACCAACTCGGTTTAGTACGACTAGCGTCGGCGGTGTACAGGAGCGTGTTCATCGTGCGGCGGCGTCACACGAGCGTACGAACTTAGGACGACAGAGCGCTGCTGGAGGAGGGAATGCGGAGGAGTACGATAGTGGAGCTATGCCGGGCATTACCCCGATTGGATCGATGTCGAGGGATGAGGGAATAGCCCCCAACTATGGCTACTTCAAATTCACTCCAGACAGAATCGTCGTGCCTAAGCCGCTCGAAGGACGCCACGACCTATCGACGTGGGTAGAATCGATCGAGCCGCAGCTTGAGATCGCTCAACTAAAGCGATTCATTGACGGTACCACTCCTATTCCACCAACGCAGGCAGTTGCGCATCTCACTCAGTTCCGCGCAATGCAGTTACTGACGTTCACCACGATTTCCCGATGCTGCTCCCCAACCGTACAGATTGCCCTTAAGGGGTGTCGCATGAAGGTAGATGCCGGCTATCAGGCATGGCAGTTTATTATGCGCACGTACATGGCGAAGGACGATCTGTACATCGGTCAGTTAGAGCAGGCGCTCACTAACCTCGAGATGGGTGAGCACGAGTCCGCTACGTCCTATTGCAACCGTGCGCAGCAGATCCTAGGAAACCTGAGGATGGCCGGCGTCGATTACTCGCAGGCGTCGTACATTACTCACGTCGTGAAGGGGTTGCCGCAGCAGTACAACCTCTTACGCAGGATGCTGAAGCTGCCGCAGGTACGCAAGGAGTTGGACGAGGACACCCTCGCTAGCTACATTATCGAGGAGGAGTGTACGCTGGCAGCGGAGGGACGGAAGGACCAATTTCTTCCCCAGGCCAACCAGGTCTTTACCAAGAAGGGTAAGCCCCAATCCCAGCAGACTTCATCCCCTTCCCCTCCCACTACGGCACAGCAGCAGCAGCCTAAGACTGGGGGTGGGGTTGGAGGTGGAGGAGAGAAGTGGAAAGGGGCTAAGGATGGTCCGCCAAAGGGGGGGAAAGGTGGCTTCAAGGGGAAGTGCTACGTGTGTGGACAGACAGGGCATGTTGCTAAGTACTGTCAGCAGCGGGCGGATAAGGAGGCAGACACGGGTGGAGAGGGTTCTGGAGGCAGCGGCGCGAGTGGCAAGGGGGACGATGGCTCTAAGGGGAGCGGGCAGTCATCATGTGCGATGGTGAAGCCCGTTGTAGAGCAGACTCCTCTTGTCGTGCTGGAGCCTGAGGCCGGGGAGGGCTTACAGGCTCTTGCAGCTGCTGTGAAGGCGAACCCGAGCGTCGTGCTACTTGATAGTGGATGCTCCCACCATCTCATGGGAGATCGTTCTGCCTTTGTGGAGATGAGCAGCGGCGGTAGTATCAAACAAGTGAAAGGCTTCAACGGCGCGCTTCAGGACGTGCAGGGGCGAGGCACAGTCGCTCTTCTTGGAGAAGGGGGCAGGCGTCTCTTGGTGTCTGACGTGCTGTACGTACCTGGAGTGCAGGCGAGTCTTCTTTCTGCTGGGCAGCTGCGTGATAGTGGTGTGCAACTGCTGGATGCAGGCGACGTGACTCTGCTGCGGGCACCAGATGGGTCACTTCTTGGGCGTGCAGAGTACAAGGGGCGTGTTCTCTGCACGAACTTCCAACCGTGTTTGTCGCAGCAGCAGGAAGGCGAAACGGTGGCACTTCGTACCTTGACGACGGGCGTGCGGTCTAAGGTGGACATGTGGCATGCGCGTATGGCACACGTTGGTATTGATGCCATCGAGCGCACTGCGTCTCACGGGTCAGTGAAGGGCTTGGACCTGGAGAAGGGGGGCAAATCAGGCATACCGTGTGTCTCCTGTGTTGGGGGGAAGATCACTCGTCATACCTTCCCGCCAGTGGGTGCGGAGGAGGATGAGTTGCTTGGGGTGGTGCATGCTGACCTGTGTGGCCCTTTCCGTGAAACAGCTAAGGACGGCAGCCGCTACTTCCTGGTGCTGAAGGATCGCAAGTCGCGGTACGTCTGGGCCTACCCTTTGGCTCAGAAGAGTGATGCGCTGGCGGCGTTCCAGAAGTGGCTCCCGATGGCAGAGCGGCAGTGCAAAACCACGGTGCAGGCGCTGCGCACTGATCGAGGTGGCGAGTTCTTGGGGCATGACTTCACGCTCTTCCTCGACGGCAAAGGCATCATCCATGACCTCACGTGCCCGTACACGCCGGAGCAGAACGGGATGGCCGAGAGGGAGATGCGCAGCATTGTGGAGGCGGTGCGGACGATGCTACTGCACATGGGTGTACAGCATCATTGGTGGCACCTGGCGTTGGCGCAGGCCGTCTGGGTGCGCAACCGCGTGGAGCATGCCTCGCTGCCCTCTGGTGTGACGCCGTACGAGCTCGCCTTTGGACACAAACCCGATGTCAGTATGGTGCGGGTATGGGGCTGCATGGTGCAGTACATGGTGCCTCAGTCGCAGCGTGGGGGGAAGCTGGCACCAAAGGCTCGCTGGGGGTTGCACTTGGGGGTGTCCGCAGCGAGCAAGGGCTGGACTGTGCTGGACTTGGAGTCCAACCGCCTCATCACCACTGTGGAAGCTGTTTTCTATGAGACCATGTCCCTGGCAGGATGGAAGGCTTGGCACCAGCAGGAGCATGCGGGGCGTCCGATGCCCTATGAGCCCGTTCCCTCCCTCTTCCCGATCACTCTTGAGGAGGCGGTGGAGGAGGAGGTGGTCGCACCTCCTGCTATGCCCTATGTCCCTACCTCGGTCCCCACCCCACCTCCGCCTTCAGTTTACCCTCGTGTGGTTCCCCCTGCCCCACCTTCTTCATCCTCACCCCCCTTGGCTTCCCCTCCTCCTCCTGTTATTCCCTCTCCCCTTCCACCCTCCATCCCTCCTGCACCTGCTCCACCCTCCTCTTCATCTTCCACGGCGCCGCCCGTTGGTGAGGGGGGGATCGTGGTGCCACCGTCTGTGGAGATCACCGACGGGCAGCGCCTTGAGACTGAGCAGCTG